ATGATTACTGAGGTTATTTTTGAACAATAAAAATTTTTAAAAAAAAAAAAAGAAAAAAAAAAAGCAATTGTATAATAGGTGTTCTATTTTTAAAATGAAAATTTGAAGTCATCAAATATTAGTGTGGTTGTGTGTGTGTGTGTGAAAAGGGATGGTGTTTTTAGAGCTTCAAAGAAATTATAAAAAAAAAAAATTTAAAAAAAAAAAAAAGAAAAAAAAAAGTGTTAATGGGTGTATTTTTATTTATATAATATAGTTTTTAACATTTTGTGTTTGTGTGTTAAAAGTGTGTAATTTTTTAAATTTTTTACCTTTTTAATTAAAACATTTTTTTTTTTATATTTTTTTAATTATAAATTTTTTTTTTTTTATATTGTTATTAAAGCTAAATTACTATTAACATTAGGCTACACCACCACTACTATTATTATTATTCACCTACTATATACACTACCTCACATTTTTAGTGTTAATTAAACTTATTATTATATTTATTTCTATTTGTTGTCTGTTTATTTGTTGTTGTATTGAATTGTTTTTATGCGCTTTTTTCTTTATAAATAAAAAAAACACACAAACACACACACACACTTATTCACTATCATTTTTAAATAACCAAAAAAATTATATGATTTTTAAAAATCATATAAATTATATAAATATATTACATTAAATAAATAAATAATAATAATAAAAAAAAAAACAATTACAAACATATATAAAGTATTATTGTTGTATAAATTATACCTCATATAATTAAGAACTTATTACTTATATTATTATAGACAATATTGTTAATTTAATTTAATAAATTTTTTTTTTATTTTTGTTTTGTTTAAATAAATTAAATTCCTTTGTTTTTTAATTTATTTTTTTATTTACTCAAAATTAAATATATATATTAAAAATTAATATTTAAAAATCAAATAGCAAATATCAATTATCAAATATAATAATTATTATAATTATAATAATAAAAATATAATACTATAATTTAAACAATAATATTGTTAAAACTTTTTTTTTTTTTATAAATTTTTTTGTGTTGTTGATTTTTAAATCATAAAATTTTAGTATTATATTATTTTAAATAGTATAATATAATTTATATATTATATCAAAAATAAAACTTAAAATTCATCAAGCAACTTCTAATTTTATAAATCTTCTCTCCAAACAAATCAGAGGTTCCCCAGAAGAGGAGAGAGAAATATCAAAATTCGAACTAAATGATCAACAACCGGATGGTCATTTTAGAATTATAGTTTGCACAGAGGTAGGTTCTAGTACAAAAAATATATCGTAAGTAAATTATATTTAGTTAATAATGATAATTTAAAGCAAAAATAATCTTATTTAATATTTATATAATTCTAGAATCGAAGTTAGTAATGGTAATAAATATGGAATGAATTGCGGGAAATATTACGGTTACAACAATCATCCAAAGGTTAAATGGAATTGTATTACTATAGATATGAGAGATCCTGTTACTGGCGGTTATGAAAATACTTGGATTAAAATATATTATAGTAAATGCAAAATGTTTGGAAACATGTCTTTAATTAAAACTAAATTGGTGGACTCAACAAAGATTGCATCTTTAAATAGGAAGTCATTTGTATTTTATTGGGCTTCAGATAAATCAGAATATTTTTTAGATGCATATAATAGACCAACTCCAAATCAGTTAATGGAGAATTTTGTTAGCTAAAATAAAAAATTGTAAATAAATGTTATTAAAAAAAAAACTATATTATTATATATTGTTATAAAAATAAATTAAAATTTGTAGTATGATTTTTATTTTTTTCATATATTTTTATAATTTAAAAAGATAATTAATTATTTTGGTTTCTATTTGTAAAAATTCTTTTTAAAAATTGGAAAAATGTGTATATTGGCACACATGTCAAGTAGAATATTGTCAATACAAATACTGAAAAACAATCAATTTTTTCTTCTTCATCTAGATTAGTCGGATAGGTTTTAATAAGATTGCATGATGATGGGCAATGTTCTTTTAAATTTTTATCAAATTTAGAATCTTTTCTATAATCATACCTAATTTCTTGTACACCCAATGGAATGCAATCTTTCATTGAATAATTATTACCATTGTTAAAAGAATGACCAAATTTTATAAATTTTAAAGTTGGCGGAAGAGAGTCTTTTGAAAGTTTTTGATTAAACAAGTCTCCAAATATTAATGATGTAAGACCTATTGGTAAATCATTTTTTTTTAATGGTTTTTTACCATTATTAAACTTTTGACCAAATACTAATTTTTTACAATTTATTGGTATTGCTCCATTTTCTAATGGTTTGCCTCCATTATCAAAATGTTTTCCAAAGTTGAGTGATTCAATTGACAAAGGTAATTGACCGAATTTCAATGTCTGGTTAAAAAACTCACCAAGTTTTATTAGAACCAAGGTGTTTGGTAATACTCCATGTTTAATTTCATTTCCTCCATTATCAAAATCATATTCAATTTTAATTTTTCTAATACCAACTGGGAAAGTAAATTCATTAATTTCTTGATTCCATCTATAGATTTTGATAGTTTTTAAAGTATTTGGGAGAACCCCCTTACTAAAATTATAGCAATATCTTGTACCTATAATTAGCTTTTCTATACCACTTGGTAATTGACCAGGGAGTATTTCATTATTAAAATTTCTTCCTAATATTAATTTTTTTGTTGAAATTGGAAATTTGAATTTTGCATAATCAAAAGAGCCATCATTTTCATCACTTTCAACTCTAATATGGGTTAAATGTTCTTTATTTTTAAGGAAATACAAATCTTTTAAATTATTAAAAATTATTATTTTATCCATTTTATTTGTATTAAAATATAAAAAATAAATATTAAAAAAAAAATTTATACAAAAAAACAGCATTATTTATTTTAAAATTATAGGTGGAGTTAATTAAGTTTCCCATGTTATAGAGACATATATTCCCAAAATAATTATTATATACAATAATAAGCTATATTTTATTCTAATTTCTTTCTTTTTTTTAAAAAAATATTATTTTTAAAAAACTTTTTTTTTTCCAAATACAAAATCCCAAAATAAATAATTTTATGATGACATTTTTTTTTTTGATTCTATTTTTTCTTTTTTATTTTCATTATTTCTTAAATTATATATAAAATATTTTTTTTTTTTTTTTTTTTTTTTTTTTTTTGATTTTATTTTTTTTTTTTTATTTTCATTATTTTTTAAATTAAATTATAAAAAATTTTTTTTTTTTTTTTTTTTTTTTTTTTTGTTTGTGGAAAACCACAAAAATAAATAAATATAAAGTTTTATTAATAAATTTTGATTATAAAAAATTTTATATTAGAGAATTTTTTAATATGAAGTTGTATATCCATGGTAATATAAATTACAGGTTGGAATGCCACTATCAGACCAAGTAATATTATTTGATGAACATAATTCACAACGAGAGCCACTGAAACCTGTTCTGCATTTACATGCGTTTGAACTACAATAATTGAATGGAGAGTTTAAGCATTGCCAATCTTGTTCACAATATGAAACAGTACCATCGGCTAAAAATAGATTACAAGTTGGTTTACCATTTGACCATGTAATTGTACCATTACAGCTTGTGCATGAGCTACCAGTGAATTCTGAAATACATTTACAAGTACCAAAAGTTTGAGAGCCAGCGGAATCATATAATAATGTAATATATTGATCATCTAAATCGATACGAACTATTGCAGTTGAGGTAGCATAAAAGACAGCTTCATTATCTAATCCAATACCTTTAATATTTGGATTATCCGATAATTTATATCTTTGGGAAACATCGCCATTGATTGGAACTCTGAAAAGACCATTTTGTGTACTATAAAAAAAGAACTTATCATTGGCTGCAAATCCTAATACGTTATCCATAACATAGAACAACTCTTTACCAATGGCACAATCACGACAATCGGTATTACCAATATAAAAACCAACAGCACTAAGACCACCAGAGAAAATTCTTTGAGTAAAGTAAAGAGTGTTTCCATTCTTCCATAAACCATTGCAGTAGCTAGTGTTATAATAGTTGATAGATTGTGGGGTATCGTTGAGATCCAATGGAATTGGGGAAAGAGATTCTAATCTGTTATCGACACATCTATAGAGTTTATTTTCGGCGGCATGGACAAAGATACCATTTTCTGGGTTTTGTTTGAAAGCTGTTGTAAATTTCTTGGTTGTTGGATTATAAGTACCATACAATGGTAAATATCTATACATATCTTGAACTATATAAACTTTTCCTCCTGGTAATAAGTTTGCACCAATGGCACCATTAACACGATTAAACACTGGACCATTTGCAATTTCATCTTCAATTTGATATACTATGGTAATTGGTGGGTTATTTGATGAGCTGTATTTTGGCACCTTTAATAAATAGGATGCACCATATTGGCCATTATCGGTATTTCTTCTAGCTGTAAAATAAATAAAGTCATCACGGCCAACAACGAAAGAACGAGCATCGACAATCCATTTATGAGCACAGAATTGGTAAGGTTGATTAGGACAATTCCAATCTTCGGTACAACTTTGTTGAGAATATCCAATGTATAAATTTATTAAAAATAAAAATAAAAATAATAAAAAACTATTTTTCATTTTCATTTTTTTTGGGGTGAGTTTTTATAATTTTAAATAAAATAAATAAATATTTAAATTAATAGATTATATAAATATAATGAAGTTTATATTATATTTTTTATTTATTTTTAATTTCAAATTTGAAATTATTTATACTTTTTTTTTAAAACTTGTATAATTTTAAAAAATAAAAAAATAAAAATAAAAATAAAAATATACTTTAAAATAATTTAAAAAATATAACACATTTATAATAGATGTGTATTATATTTCTAAATTTAAATTTGCATTCTTACAGATTAAACTCCCAAATTTGAACTAGATAACTAACTTTTTAATTACTATCCCATTAACTCTACCCCTCATTTTTATTTATTTTTTACAAACTCATCATTACACTATCCTCCTATTTAGTAAAAAAAAAAAAAAAAAAAAAATGAAATTTAAAAGAAAAATAAATCACACCCTGTATTTAAACATTTAAATTATTAAAACAAAAATAAATATTTTTTTCACATATAAAAATAACTACTGCCAACACCAATCCCCACCACCAACACATGTTTTTTTTAACTATTTAAATATTTATAACACAAAAATTCACACCCCCATGGAATAAACTACCCCCTTTGAAATAAAAACAATAATAAAAAAAAAAAATCAGTTCATTCTGGAATTTATATATTTAAAATATGATCCCAAATTTAGTAAAAATTTTTTTTATTTTAAATGATAAATCTAATTCAATGATATTCCACCCTAATTATATGGTGAATGAACCAGAAAATGTTAATATTATACATTACACCGAATGTTATACTTTCCATTATAAGAAAATGATTAAAATATTTCTTTTGATGACAACATCCTTTAAAGTTCCAAATATATTATTTGTATATTAATCATATAATAAATTGAACAGAAATCAAATATAAAAAAATTTTATATTTTTTATTAAACATTATAATTTATTTTTTTTTTTTTAAAAAAATCGTTCCTTCATTATGATTAATTATATATAATTGCTATTTATTTATTATTATTATTATTATTATTTATTAATTTATCTGTTTATTATTTAATGCTGCTATTTTATTTTCATTTTATTTTTATTTTTATTATTATTATTTATTTTTTTTTATTTTCTTATTATTTTATTTCAAACCAAAACCTTCATAATGAGTAATAGCCTTGGTTAATAAATCTCTTAATTTATCTATACCCGGATATGCTGGTAAAATAAGAGTATTAAAACATGTATGAGCAGATGGTAGTCTATCACTATCAGCGGTCTTGGTAATAGTAAATTCCATTTTACCTAATCCACCATATGGCACTCTATCTCCACCGGTTACAAAAGTTAAAAATCTCTTTTTATCTTCATCTGATAAACTATGTAAAACCTTCCAAAAATTTCTAATAAAAATGAGATAAAGTTAGTTTATTTTATAATAATAATGATAAATAATTAATAATTTTAACCTACTTTATAGTTGTATCATCTTTAGTATAACCACCTTCATAAGTTGCAAATAATTCTAACTCATCGAAATTTAAATCTTCGACACCACATACCAAATTGCTTAATTCTTCAGGTTTTAAAATGTTTAAAATGGTTGAGTCGCAAACAAGTTTAAAACCTATATAAAATGCTTTAAATTGACTACTGATTGATTTATTTAATAAATAATCTACATATAATTGAAGATACTCTTCTCTATTTTCATTTGTCACTGGAATATCTTTACCATCCTTCTTTAAATTAAATGTTTTAGTTTGACCAAAGCTTTCATAATCGACACTAAAATATAATGACCAATATTCTACCTCTTCGGTTGTAGTTTTAACATTCATTAAACTTGAAAACAATGTTGGATCTAAAGATTCAATATCTTCAAGAGAAAGTGGTAAATTTAATAATTTCTTGAATATAACTAGTGGGAAATGAACATCTAAAATAATATTATTATATAATGCTAAACCTAATAACTATAATTTTGAACAATTTAAATTAGTTAGTAAATATGTTATTATTGTCCTATTTTATTATTTATTTTTATAATTCTACTCACTATACCAATTAATTGAAATTCTGTTAAATCTTCAGAATCGGGATTAAACCAAAAACATCTTGTTTCATTATTATATTTAAACATGCCATATTCGGGGTCAAAAATTCTTCTAACAATTAATTGGAAAAACTCTCTTTTTACACCACCTTCATCGATACCTTCTTCGCCTATAAAATGTACTTTTAATTCTTTTTTAAACTCGTTTTTACCATGTCTGAGCTCTGCAATTCTATCTAATGTATCTGTAATAATTGATTCTCTTCGTATTTTAAAAATTAAGAAATCTAAAGCTGATGTTAAACCCAATCTACCAAAATCGGTTCTATGATTATTTTGAGAGAGTGCATGTTCAATTTGTAAATATTGACCTTTAGTAATTGTATTTAAAACACATGGAAAATTTGCATATGTGAATGAATGATTTGCTTGATTAAAATCTTTGAATAAATCTAAATCTTCATTGATTGCATCATTATAAAAATCTGTAAATGGTACATATCTTTTTAAATCATTTATTTTACCTATAAAAAAATTTGTAAAGTTAGAATTGATTTTTCTATTTTGTTGATGATAATGATAATGGTGATATTTACTTAAAAGTTGTAATGCACTACATGCACCTTTAATAGCTGGATCTTTATGTAAATCGACTTCATCACTCATAATTCTAACTGAAATAAATTGCTCATAATTTATAATTGTTTTAATAAAATACTCTTTAGATAAACTATTATACCATTTGATTATAACATCTTTCATTGGATCTTGTAATAAAGAAAATGCAACAAAAACATTTGATAAAATTGTTCTATTATCTAAATCGTGAATAAAATCGTTCTATATAAATAAAAAAAACCATTAATAAAAATTTTCTTTACATTTAATTTCTTTGTTTAAAGATAACCTACTGCTAAAAGAAAAACCAATGGTTTAAGTTGTTCTTTTTCTTTGTATGAAACTGAGTTATATTTTAAATTATTACTTAATAGTCTTGTAGCACTTTTTAATGACTCGTCTACTTTTTTATTATTCTAAATTTAAAAAAATATTAATATAAAGCAAACCTTTATTATTATTTATTATTATTATGATACATACCAAACCTGTTAATAATGAAAAAATTTGATTTATATCGTTTATATCTAATCCTTCGAAATAAGTTTCATCGTCATAGTCTTGCTTTTTTTCCTAGTTTTTAAAAATGAATGATAAAAATTAATATAAACCACAATAGTTCTTTATGAATAATGAGTCAAACTTACTGATTTAAATGAGGTAATGATTGATGATGGTGTTGAAAAATAATTAACAATAAAATCCACAATATTTGAATAGTTTTTTGCATTTGATGATAAATCTACTAATGTTTTCATATATCTATTGGTGATAATAAGTTTTTCGGCTGTAGATGAATATAAATAACTACAAAGATACTTTTCTTGATAATCTTTACCTAATTTTAATGACTTCATAGCTGCTTGGGTTGGATCTAAAATTTTTTGAAAATCTATATATAAGAAAAACAGTTGGATTAGTTTATGAATGCATTTTTTCTAAATCACCAAATATATTTGAAACTTACTTGGATTGTGACAACAATATTCTGAATGATGACTAATTTTTTCACCACATCCTTTTGTAATTTGTTGAAAGTATTGACTGATTATAAATCTTAATCTTTCTTTTTCTTTTTCTACTGTGTCATTTGATTTACTATTACCAATGCTATTACTGCTATTGTTATTGTTTGAATTTTCAAAACTCATTTTTATTTTATAACTATATATTATTATTCGGGGGTGATTATTATATGAGGTATATTAAACTATAAAAATACAAAAATATTATAAAGACTATATTATTTACAACAAAAAGAAATGATTATTAAATAAAACTATAACCTTTATTTTCCCTTTTTTTTTTTAATTTTTTTTTAAACAATTGAGATAGTGAACCAAACACTGATTACTATTATTTGTTTATATTTGTGTTTATTATGTAATGGACTTTTATTATTATTATTATTATTATCTATATATACAACAACACAAAATAATTATATATTTAAAAAAAAAATTAAAAATAAAATAAAAAAAAAAATTAAAAAAAAAAAATTAAAAAAAAATTATGAAAATAAAAATAAATAAAATTTTTTAAATTCATTTTTTTTTTAAAATAATAAACCTCAAAAAAGAATTTAAATACTTATTTTCAAAAAATTAAAAATTTAAATTAAATTAAATTTCGATTTTAAATTAAATTGAATTTTAATTTGAAGATAAAAAATTAAAAAATTAAAAATATTAAATAATTATTGGAAATATATAAAATCTATTTGTGGTTTTTTTTTTTTTTTATAAATAGTTTTTTTAAAACTAAATTATTTATTTTTATTTATATAGTTTTAATTTAAATAACTATTTTTTAATTTTATATTATTATTTCTTTTTTTTTTATTTTTTTTTTTTTATTTTTTTTTTTATATTTATTTATTGAGTGTATATATTTAATTATTTTCAACAAATTTTAAAGCTAATTTTTTAACATCATCAATTGATCTTGGATTACCAAAATCTTTTTCAAATGTTAAAAATCTTTTAAAGAATTGTTTAATATTTCTATCTGATACCTTCAAGTTAACAGTACGGTTAAAGAGCTCTCTGATTTTATCTCTGAGATCTTTGTTTGATTTAATTGATTCTTTATCTCTGAGTTCCATATCTAAATAAATATTCCAAATATCGGTTCTGTTTGGATAATTGGATACTAAACCTTCGAAGATGGTTCTACCTCTTTCTACATCACCTAATTTGTATTCTAATTGACCAAATTTATTGATTACTTTAATTTGTTTCTTCTTTGGTAAGCATTCTAAGGCTCTTGAAAGGACACCATTGAATTGGTCTAATTTTTGATTCTTTAAAAGGAATTCACCGTAACGACACCAGATTTTAGCGCTTGATTTGGTTTTCTTAAAGAGCATTTTGAAGTACTCTTCACAACGTTCGACTTTATTGGTTGATTCTAAAATTTGAATAATAGTTAAATACATTGTTTTTGGATCTTGATATTGAATAGAACGTTGGAAAAGCTTTAAGAGAGTTTCGGCTGTACCATAGAGGTTTTCAAGATTGTATAAAGCAATCCAAATATTTCTTTGTTCTAAAACTTCGGTGGCTAAAATCTTTTTAATTGCTTTTTCACCAGTTTCTCTAGCTTTGCTGATTTCAGAGAGACTGAGGTAATATGACATATATTTGATCCAAAGGTATGAGGAATTTGGTGAACCTAAAAGTAATCTTTCAAAATCTTGTGGTGATTCTGGTGCTACATTGTGATCTGCTAAAAGGTCTTCTCTTTCTTTAATTTCTTCTTCTTGTTTATTTTTTGATTTTTCTTTCTCTGTTTTTTGTTTCTTTTTATCGACAACTTGGTTCTCTTCAAACTCATCAGCTTCATCAGTTTCGTCCTTCTTTCTTTTCTTTGAATCTTCTAATGATAATAATGAGGTAGACTTAAATTCATCGTCTTCAGCTTCTTCTAATGGTTGTTGTTCTTCTTGGTCATTATTTAAATTTTGTTGTAATTGTTTGGCTGATAATTCCCCTTTCTTTTGTTCCTTTTCAACTAAATATGGTTTAATAGATTGAATTGATTTTAATTGAACTGATAAACTGATATGAGTATTGATTGATTGTTGCTCTTCTGTTGGGTCTTGGTTATCCCAGCTGACTTTGAAATAGCTTTCAGTATCGACATCAACGAAATGCTCTGGTTTTAATGAGAAATTGAAAAAGTTTTTATTCTTTTCTTTGGAGAATTTTTGACCTATACATTTACCTAAAACCAAATCGCCTACACTAAAGTTTTGAGCTAATTGTTCTGGTGTTAATTTTTCATCTGATGATTCTTTGATGTGAACCAATGCTGTAATGTTGGAGTGACGAACGAAAAGACCAAAAGTTTCAACTCTAGTAACCTCCAATGGTAAGATATCGTCGGTTTTTAATGTTTGAAGGGTGATCTTTTTATCGATACGAATGGAACAATTTAAAACTTGATTTGAACCTTCAACTTTTGGATCACCAAGAACAGTAACTTGAATTAATGAACCAACCTCACAAAGATGCATATGGAATGGACCAACAACTTCATTTTGGATAACACCATTTAATTTATCTGCTAATTCAACACGTACAATTTGTTGATTCTTTTCGATAATATAACCCCATGCATGTGAACCATGTGAAAATACATTGGTAATAGCTCTTTCTTGAGTTGGGTTATTCTTGTATTTTGGATTAAACTTGTGTTCTGGACCTAATAATGATTTCTTTAATGATAAGCTGATACCATCTTTTGAAATAGATTTGACAAAAACTTTAATAACTGATCCGACTGAATAAATTGAAAATGGTGAGTCTCTGAATTCATCGTTGCAATCAATTAATTTTACTTCACCACTAAGATTATTATATATTTTAACTTTCATTGATAATACACCAATTTCTGAAATTGTACCTAAAATTTTGTCACCAACACTTAATTTCTTATTTAATTGATTATTTTCGATTAATGATAAATAAATTTTATTATCGCTATTAATTGATTTAATTAAACATTTAAATGGTTTTTTTCTTTGACCAAAATCTAAAATAAAAGAAATAAAAATTTTAATTAGTTTATATATTTTAATGAAGATTATTTGTATATTTTAATTTACATACCAACAAAATCATTATAATTTTTAAAATTTGAAATAACATCTATATAACCAATTTGAGTTGGTGAAATCCATGTTGCAATTTCGTTATATGAAACTTGACCATAATTTATAGCTGTAATAGTTTGACCAACTGTGAAATCTTTACTTAATGGTTCTGGTTTGTTGAATGTTAATATAATAATTTTAGCAGTTTCATCGACTGAAATAATTGTACCTTCCCATTCCTTTTCCAACATTAATTTTGAAAATGGTTGTTCTGAATTAAGACAATGAACTTTACATGTATATTCTTTATATTTTAATACTAATTCGAAATTTCTAATTTCTGTTGCAATTGCTTTAATTTTATCACCAACATTTAATTGATTATTATTAATAGTTTTTTTATTTGATGTTTTGTTGGTAGTAGAAGTAGTAGCATTGGTAGCAGCGGCTGGTGTTTTTGGTTTTGTTTCTGTGGCTTTTTGGCTAGTTGATGGTACCTTTGTAGCGGTGGTTTTGGTTGTGGCTGTTGTGGGTGCAGCAGCTACAGGTTTTTTATTACCAGTAGCTGGCTTTTTTAATGCTGTGTTAGTTGTGGTTTTTTTAATTATTTTTTCCACCATTTTTTATTTATTTATTTTTATTTATATATTTATTTTATTGTAAATAGATAAAAAGGGGTAAATTGGACTCTTTTTTAAAAAATAAACAATTTTTTTTTTTTAAAAAAAATGCGATTCGGTTTTTAAAAAAAAATTAAAAAAAAAATAAAAAAAAAAAAATTAAATTTATTTTTAATTTTTTAAATAAATAATTTATTTATTTTTTTATTTTTTAATCATAAATTATTCATATTTTTAAATGGATGATTTAAAAACCATATCATCTAATTGTATAGTTAAAAATTCAAAAGATCAAGGAAACTATGTTGTAGCATCAAAAGATATTAAAGCTGGTGATTTTATTGTATTTAGAGAAAAACCATATTCTTGTTGCATTAATTTTAAAATTGAAGAAAATGAAAAAAAAATATGTCATTATTGTTTCACAATAAATAATAATAATAATTTAAATAATAATATACATAATATGCATACAGACAATTTTATAATATGTAATAATTGTAAATTAAATTGGTATTGCAGTGAAAAATGTAAAAATGAAGATTATCAAACATCACATCAATACGAATGTAAAATATGGAAGAAAATACAGTCAGCATCACAATTTAATAATGAATGCAAAACCACTATTAAATTATTAATAAAAATTTTAATTTTACAGTATAACGAAATCAAAATAAATAATAATAATGATAATAATGATAATAATAATAGTTATAAAGAAATTAAATTTAAAGATATTATTGGTCTCGAAAGTAATTCAAATAAATTTTCGACACAAAGAATTACAGATTTTATGAAAATTTCAAAATTTATAGAAAAGTCAGTTGATAAAGAGATTATAGATACAATATATCCAACAGTAAAAGAAATGAGCCTATTTCAAAAAAATATGATAAAACTAATGTGTATATTGGAATGTAACTCACACGATATATCATTCCCATTCAGAACGAATAGCAGTATTACCACCTTCAATTACTATTCAATTGGTATTGGAATTTATTTTAATTCAAGTTTATTCAATCACTCTTGCCAACCTAATATATGCAAAGTTATAGAATCTTGTAAAAATAATTTTGGGTGTCACTCTATGGTTGCAATTAGAGATATTAAAGAAAATGAAGAAATATCATTTAACTATATCCAACTAAATCAAAATAAACAGGAAAGAATTGAAAAACTACAATCAAGTTATTATTTTACTTGCAATTGTCCAAGCTGCTGCACTAATAACCCCAACCCACACAAAGAATTTTTAAATAAATATAAATGTAAAAAATTAAATTGTTCAGGTCTTGAATATCCAAATAACAATAACAATAATAATAATAATCTAATATGTAATATTTGTTTACCTATAAATTTTAATTAAATAAAGATGATGTTTTTTTTTTTTTTTTAAATTAAATATTTTATTTATTTGTTTGTTTGTTTTAGTCAAAATGTAATGTTGAATAAATTTTTTTCATAAACCAAAGGTTACCAATAAAACCAATTGATGAGCAAAACAATGACATTAAAATTGAAAATACAAGACTAAATATAAAATAATAAAAACCAGCACCACTTGAACCAATATTAGAAGCACCAAAATAAATGCAATAAATAAATGTGTATAAACCAGTTGTAGCTGGTCTTACTAATGATCTCCACCACCAATTATAATTCTATAATAATAATAATAATTATGGTTAATAACTATAAAAAAATAATACTTTCTATTAACTACTTACTTCTATTGATAATTGATAATATTCTAAAATCATATTTAATTCTAAAATTAAAACAACCATTGATATAAAGGTAATTGAAAAACTTGTAGAGTATTCGTAATGTTCACCCAAAACAAAACTTGTTAAGAAATAGTATAACTCTGTATAAATAATTGAAAATGTAATGGCACCACCCAATAACATATGTAAATATGGATTTTGGTACCATTTTTGTTGTGGAATGAAACGAGGAATTGGATTAGTTCTAACTGGGTATCCTGGTGGTGGCCATGTTTTAACAAAATATGAGCTAATCAATGAACATGGCATCGATACCAATATCCACATTGCCAATACAAAGAATACAGAACCTGCTGTTGGTGCATATACAAAACCATTACCCCAAATTTGGAAATATCCAATAAATATTAAAACTAAAACGATTAATGGTATTAATGTAATTGTCTATAAAATATCAAAAAAAATTAGTTAATAATAAATTTAATAAGTTATAATATATAATTTTTAACTTACAACAACACTATTGTATAATTTTCTAGTACCACCCAACATTATATAAACTCTCATTGATGAGTAACCATTGAATAAAGCTGAAAAAGCAAAGACTACCATAGATGCAGTAGCTAAACCACCAGGATTTGCAATACTTAATAAACCAGCAACTGAAAAAACCATTAAAATGAAAATGGTTACAGCAATTTGTGCACCAAAACCAACGATAATAGAAAATGTCATAAAGTTATGTGGAGATCTAAATACATCGGCATAAATTGACTTCCAACCACCATCTTCAAAACCTAAAGTTTGATAGGTTTTAGCTCTAAAAATATTTAAAAATATGAGTACTATAATCGAACTGAAAGCCAATACAACCACTACACTTAAAATGGAGATGGGTGTATCTGATGGAGATTCTACATAGTATAATGACCAACGTTGATCCACTCTTCCTTTTACTGTATTGAAATGGACTGCATATGAGAATGGTGTTTTTAATATTCCAGAATAGCTATCAACTTTATCCTCATCCAATTCGAATGCATCAGTTTTATTAACGCTGTATGGTTCAATATAAACTGATTGAATAATATATTCTGTATAAGCCTCTTTTGAACCACTCTTTGCTTCCATTTCATCCTTTAAATCTGAAACTTTTGAAATATTTATCCTAAAAGATAAATAATTATTAATAAAATATCTATCATCAACTTTGAAACCAATTGGATAACCTAATAAAATATGGTTTTTTTCTGTATTGTCATAATTAATTGTAGTTTCATTTGCACTTGATTCTGATGATGATAAATTTTCGCTACCTGTTACTAAACTATTGTCAACAAAATATTCACCAATTGGTAAATCGTCAACAAAACTATATAAACAAATTTCAGTTAATATTATGATGATGATGGTGATGAGTCATATATATATATATATGTATATATTCGATTGTATTTAAATATTAAAATATCTTACAAATGAATTCTATATTCTTTATCAATTAATTTTTTTAATTCTTTTATATTATCTTTTGTAAAATTTGCACTACCCACTTCATAATTCTTTTTTAAATTAAATTCAATTTGATATATTGATGATGATTTTAAATCACCTGAAAGTTTTTCGAAAAATGATTGTTTATAGGTTATATCACCTTCAGGTTTTAAAAATGGTAATTTATAATAATCGTAAATTGATAAATCCAATCTATAACTATTCATCTATAGAGTATACACAATAAAAATTTAATAGATATTAGAGTTTAATTTTAATACTTTAATATTTTAATAAATAAAAATAATAATACATACATATATTGGTATTTTATCTTTAGTTACATACACAGTTGGTTGTTTTTTTGAAACGATTCTAGAATCGACAACAACTCCATTTATAAAAAATAATATTAAAAATAAAAATAAAATTTTTTTACTTGTTATCATTTTATAAGTGTATATATATCTATGTGGTATGAAATATATAGGCTTTTTTTTTTTTTTTTTTGTTTTTAATTTAAAAAATAAAAAAAATAAAATAATGAAAAATTTTTTAAAAAAAAAAATAAAAATAATTATTTTTATTTTTTTTTTTTTTTTTTTTTTTTTTTTTTCAGAAATTAAAGAAAATTTTTCATAACTTTATTTTTTGATCTAAATTATGCGTATATAATCTAAACCATTAACAATAAAATAGTAATAATATTAATAATTTTTTAAAAAAAAAAAAAAAAAAAAAAAAAAAAAAAAAAAAAAAAAAAAAAAGTAAATATTTTTTTAATTCTATTAATATTATACAATAAATAGACAATAAATCATAAATAATTAAAATTTAAATTTAAAACTTAAAAAAAGAAATAAATAAAAAAACTATTTGTAAAAGGCTTTTAAAATTTCATGACGAAAATTTTTTTTTTTATTTTTAATTTTTAATTTTTTTTAATTTTTTTAATTTTTTTTTTAAATTTTTATTTTTCCATCCCTATTAACGGAAAATTTAATTGATTAAATTAATAGGTGTATATATATATGTATAAATAATAAATAATTCTTTATCTCTTTTCTTTTCTTTTTGTTTGTATAAAATTTGTAAATTAGAAAAAAAAAAAGTAAAAAAAAAAAATAAATAAAAAAAAACCTTTGTTGTAGGATAATAGAGATAAAAAGAAAAGAAATCGAAATATAGGAGGAGGTAATATAATATAAAAAAAAAAAATGGATTCAATAATTGCATTTGGTTTAAACAATACCATTGTTGGAAATAATGGTGATATATTTACTTCAACAGCAACAGCAGCAACAGAAGAATCTTCATTTGATAATAAACAATTAATAACAATTTTTATAGCATGCGCACCAGTTTCAATAGTAGGCTCATTATTTATTATTATTACTTGGTCTATTTTCGCCAAATTAAAGCACAGTGGTTCAAATTTTATATGGTTTCAAGCAATCTCCGATTTTTTATTTACTTTAAAGTAATTAATTGTTTTATATTAATTTTATTTTATTTTATTTATAAATAAAATATTAATTTTTTATATTTCTTTTTTTTATTATTATTATAACAGATATATTATTACAATTATTTTTTATTATTTAAATATACCACAATTTACTGAAAGTACAACTGTAAATGATCCTGTATCACCATATTGTGTAAGTATTTTAATTATTATCAAATTATATTAAATTAATACATTGGCGCTAATTTTTATTCATTTTTTTTTTAAATAATAAATAATATTATAGTTTGGATTAGGATTATTTAGTCAATTTTTTGGACAAGCAACAATATTATGGTCATTTTCAATGACAATTAAAGTATTTCACTCATATATTAAAATAAAATCAAATAAACCAAAGCAACAACAGCAACAACAAATACAACCACAGCAGCAATCAGGTGAAAAAAGTTTAAAATATTATCATTTATTTGTATGGGGATTTTGTGCAATTAATGCAGCAGTTGTCGGTGTTTTTAAACAATATGGTCCAACATCTACAGGTATTTATTTAATTTATAAAACTAAATATGATTTGTTTTTTTTATTAACATTTTTTTTTTTTATAGGTTGTTGGATTGTAGGATCATCAAACCCATTTAGATTATTTGAATTAATACCACTTTATATTACAATCACATTTTCAGTTATTATATTAATTTTGATTCTCATTAAAATGAGAAAGAATAGACCAATATCTTTATTACCAACAGAATCTCAACGTTATCGTTTACAAGAAAGAGAATTTAAAGTTCAACTAATGAAATTCATATTGATTTTTGTTATATTTTGGACTCCTGCTACAATTTTAAGAACATTGGAATATTTTGGTATTGAAAACAAATTCTTTATTCTTTTGGATGCTGTTTCAGTAAGTCTCCAAGCTTTAGCAAATGCATTAGTATGGGCAACATCAAAACAATTCTACACATTATTAAATAAAAAGATTAAAGGTTCAAGAAAAACAAAACAATTAGAAAGAGAATATTTAATCAATAAATAAATTTATATAAATTATAAATAATAATAAATACCCCACAATAAATACCCCAAATAACAAATAACAAAAAAAAAGAACAAAATTAAAAAAAAAAAAACTAATAAACTAAATAATTAAATTAATTATTAATAATTCTAAATTTTTAAAAAAAAAAAAAAAAAGAAAAAACAATTTTATTTTTTATTTATTTGTTTATTGTGAAGAAAAATGATTTTTTAAAGTTGGTTTTAAAATAATACTGGTTTTAAAATTGGTTGTTTGTTGTTTTAGTGAATTAGAATTAAAGTATAATACCAAATTTTCATTTAATTCTAAATTTGAAAGATCGGTTACATTTATGTAATCTAAATTTGGAATAACCAAAGATTTCATATTTTTAAGATGAGTTAAAATATTACTATGAATAAAGTGTGAAAAATCTTCGGAAAAATATAAATGTTGAATACTATTTGGAAGAGAATCATTTGAAATTGGTTTTTTAATGTCACAGATGAATAGAGAATCTACTTTTGGGATAACACCTGGTCTTAAAGAATGCTTGTAACCACCATGAATGTATAATTTTCTTTGAGTCTTTGATTTAAATGGAATGGATTCTGGAATTAGTGGTTCTTTAATATCACCAATGTGAATAGATTCAATATTTTTTGATAGGGTTCCTGGTCTAATTGCATGAGAGTATCCATTATTAAATGAAATCTTTTTGATTGTAGATGGTAGTGATGACTTTGTTATTGGATGGATAACATTGTGAATATGAACTTCTTCAATACCTTCTGGGATTACACCTTGGTCGAATGGGAATTTATAACCATCATGGAAATGGACACTTTTAACAGTAGATGGAATACAGCTTGGTTCTAATTGGTATTTAACATTATAGATATGTAGGGTTTCTATGTGCTTTGGAATTTCTTCTGGATATACTCTCTGGTCAAAATCATCTAAAAGAAAAAGCTCTTTGGTATATGGATCGAGATGGGATGCTAAATAAAACATGCTTCTATTACCACCTCCAACAAAACCAATTGATGAATAATTTGATGGAATTTCGTCTAAATCATAATTACCTCTAAATAAATAAACTTCTTTATCTTTATCTGTTTAAAGAAATTAATTAGTATTTTATATAATTGGTTTTAAAAAAAATTAACTTTATTTTTATACTTACAATTATAATAATTCATAGTTTCAGAAGCTTTTAAAATAATTTCATTAATTTTTGTTTCTTTAAATTCTTGATTTGATATTTGTTTTAAATAATTTATGATTTGTGTTGTATTGAGCCATTTACCAGACTTGGATAATACTTTATTATTGCCAATGGTTAAATAACTTAGATCTACAAATGGGCAAATATGGGAATTTAAATCCTTATAGGGTATCTCTTGACCACATGGACCCTTGCATTTGGCTCTGCAATCGTTCTGTAAATGGTTTTGAAAATCTTTTCTATTTAAAACACTTGAGTTTTCTTTATAACAGATGGTACATACTACTTTTAATTCATTTAAAAAGTTGGTAATAAATTTTGGTGGCAACATTAAACTTGATACACTTGTTTCAGTATTACAAAATGGACATACATTCTTTGACTTTTCCAAGCTTTTAATTAAACATTCTCTACAATACATTTGTTGACAATTTGGTTCGATTACTGGATTTTCACATGGATGAAAACAAATTAAACAGTTATAGTCTTCATCGATCGAATCAATATATCTATAATATATTGAATCATCAACGGAATTATTTATTTTAGTTGATTCAGAATAAAACATTCTTTTATTAAAGTATATATATTTATTTTCTTTATATATATTTATATTTATATTTATATTTGTATTTATATTTATTTAATTTAATATTTATTTAATTTAATATTTATCTATATTTATTTATTTATTTATTTATTTATTTATTTATTTATTTATTTATTATTTGAATTTAGTTTTATAAAAAATAAATTTTTTTTTTTTTTTAAATAAATTTTTGTTAATTAAAGTTTAGTAAATATTTAGTTTTAATTTTATTTTTATTAGAAAATTAAACCATTCTGAGAAAATAATAATTGTGTCATGTCATCGTTGTTTTTTTCAAAATTTACAAAAAAGATTTTTAAATCAATAAAAAATAAAGATATTATTTTATAATGTGGAAAAAAATTATTTTAAAAATAAAAGAAAAAAAAAAAAAATATTTTGAAATAAAAAAAAAGATTTTTTGGTGAGTATTGTGGAAATTTTTATTTAATATTTTATTTAAATTTATTTAAAATTAATTTTTTAACTATAGATAATCATAGATTAATCTACTCATAAAAATAAGAAAAACTTTAAAAAATAAACATGGACTGAAAATGAACACACTTTTTTTTTTTTTGGCCCAAAAAATAGCGGAAAAAATTGTAATATTTTAATAAAATGTTCACTTTATACTTCATTTTTTCGCTTATTTTTAATAATATATTTTTTAATTTTTTTATAATTATTTTTCAATTTTTTATTTATTTTTTTTAAACAATAATAATAGGTAATATAAAGATTACACAACATAATTTTTAGATATTGAAAATAATAATTCTCAAACTATTTTAACACAATCACCTTATTATATTTTTTCTATTTTTAAAGTTTTTCCCTGCAATAACCCGCACCCTCAAATGGGTGGTTTACTCATGAGTCGGGTCGAATACAAATCGGGTAAAAAAACAGCAAATAATATGTAAAATTTATATAAATAAATAAAAAATACATAAAAAAATAAATAAAAAAATAAAAAAATAAAAAAATAATTAAATATAATAATTTTATTTTAATTGCAAACCAGATCTTGTTAAATTTCTCTTGCATTGTTGAAGATAGACAATCTTCATTTATTTTGTATAAGTTGCTAACCACGAATTTTTGACTTACCCCTTCAATAAGAATGGTGCAAAGGTTAACAGGACTTTTATTTATTTTTAGAAAAATTTTTAGTAATTTAATTTTGATTATTTAATTTTTGTTGAATAATTTTTGTTATTTAATTTTTATTTGTAATATATCGTTAAAGTTCTGTAGCTTTCCGGGTGTAATCGGTATTTTCACTCTAAATATATCTGAATTCCATATCTTGCTAAACTTCTCTAGCCTGTTGACTATCTTCATTGTGTGGTGTCGTTGACTAGCTGGATCTTGGTGTTGAAGTTTCTTATATATTCTGTTAATAATTTTAACTTCTCTTTCCCATGCTGCTGCAGATTATCTTGAATCTCTTAAGTACTCTTTGATATGTTAAATCGTAGGTGAAATGTTCATGATTTTTCTTGTTTCTTCTATTATAAAATTGATGTTGGGGTTATATTACAAATTCTCATATAAGTAGTTTCGATGGTGTAGTTGGTTATCACATTACCTTTACACGGTAAGGGTCGTGGGTTCGATTCCCGCTCGGAATACTCCTTTTTTGGAATTTTTCCAATTTCGTATCTATCTTCCATGTGATAATTTTATTCAGGGATTGATCTCTTTTTGTTATAACTAAAGTAGCTCCATCTACATTACAAATAATTACACACAAATTGACCTTATGGTGCCCAATAATATTAATACCACCATATCGTGCATTCACTTTTAAAAAAAAAAAATATCTTGTAGAAAAAAATTTAAAATATCCCAAATTATTTTTTTTATATTTAATTTTTTATTTTTTTATTTTTTTTTTTTCATATTTTATTAATATCATCTAATTAAAATACATTCACAATTACCCACTCACATTTACCCACAATAAATTCGATACAAATTCAATAACAGTAATTTAAATTATTTAGAAAAAAAAAAAAAAAAAAAAAAAAAATTACAATGACAATAACATTTACATATTTACATTTAAATAATTTATAATAATTAAAAATATATTTCAAATTAATAATATTCACACCATATACCTCCATGTTTTATTTAAATATAATAATGTGTATAATAGGTATGTTTTTTATTTAATAATTTTATTTTATTTTATATCATTGTTGCATTTTTAAATATACAAATTTAAAATAATACCTCTCAAATTAATAATATAAATTCACACACATATATTTTCATGTTTTTTTTTAAAAATAGTGATCATGTATAATAGGTTCATTTTTTTATTTTTTTAATTTTATTTTTTTTTAATTTTGATATTTTAAAAATAAACTTTAAAATCAAATTAAAAATATAAATTATTAATAATGATAAAAAAATAAAAGATATATTGTATTTATAAATTAGATTACATCATTTTCTATTAATAATAACTTATTATACTTTCCTTAAAGTGAACTTTTAGATTAAATTTAATTATAAAAACTATTATTATAAATCTAAATGGCTATATTAGTTAAAAATTATTATTATTATAATTTTTAATAATGATGTTCGCAATTCCTTTGTAGAAATTTGTGTGTGTGGTAAATTTCATTTTTTTTAATTAAATTTCATTTTTTTAAATTAAATTTTTTTATTAAAATTTTTTTTATTAAAATTTTTTTTTTTTTTTTTTGTGGTGTGGGGGAAATTTTTTTTTTTTTTCATTTTTATTTTCGTTTTATCAATATACATTTATTTTATTTTTTATAATAGCTCAAGCGAACAAACAAACAGGTAATTATATATATATATAATATGTGATAAAAATAAATACTAATTTTATTTTTTTTATTATTCCTCAGCATTCATTCGTTTTGGTCCTCAGAATTATCAGCAACATTCATCAGCAGCATTCATCAGCAGCATTCATCAGCAGCATTCATCAGCATTCATCTTCAGCATTCATCTTGGTCCTCATCATCATCATCATGAGCATCCTCACCGGCATCCTCACTGGCATTCGTCTTGGTCCTCAGCGTTATCATCCTCAGCATTCATCTTGGTCCTCATCATCATTAGGATTCATCTTGGTCCTCATCATCATCATGAGCATCCTCACCGGCATTCGTCTTGGTCTTAAGCATTATCACCATCAGCAGCATTCATCGTTAGCATTCATCTTGGTCCTCATCATCATTAGCATTCATGTTGGTCCTCACCATCATCATCATCATGAGCATCATCACCGGCATTCATCTTGGTCCTCATCATCATCTGCATTCGTCTTGGTCCTCAGTGTTATCATCATCAGCATTCATCTTGGTCCTCATCATGAGCATCCTCACCGGCATTCATCTTGGTACTAAGCATTATCACCATCATCATTCATCTTGGTCCTCATCATCACCATCATCAGCATCATCAGCGTCATCATCATTGGTGCCCCTCATCAACATTAGCATTCATCTCGGTCCTCATTCATCACCAGCTTTCATCAGCATCATCATCACCATTCATAATCATCATTCATCACCATCATCATCATCAGCATTCATCTTGGTCCTCATCACCATCATCATCATGAGCATCCTCACCGGCATCCTCACTGGCATTCGTCTTGGTCCTCAGCGTTATCATCATCAGCATTCATCTTGGTCCTCAGCGTTATCATCATCATTCGTCTTGGGTCCTCATCATCATCAGCATCAGCATTAATCTTGGTCCTCACCATCATCGTCAACCCGAAAGCTTTAGAAAAAGAACTTTTAGTAATAATTTTATAAAAAAAAAAAAAAAAAATAACAATAGAAACAAAAGTACAATATTAAAAATATATAATACCATATTTCAATCTATTTGATGGAAGAAATACATTTTCCCTGGCCAGGCAAATATATTGGAACATCAAATGATTTTAATATTAGGATATTGAAACATCATTTAATTTTTAAATAAAATATAATAAATTTTTTTTTTTTTTAAATAATATTTTTATTTTTACTGTTTTCCTTTTTATTAAAAATAGCTCTTCATGATATAATTTAGTATAATTTTTTTATTTATTGAAGAAATGATTATTATTGTTTGTCTACTCTTTTAAACTTTGAAATCAAAATCATACAAAATTTTGAATTTAACGATTCTTTGAGAATGGGAAATGTATGAAATTACCTTAAATTTTATTAATTACATTTTATTTACAAATTAAACTACATCATTTTCTATTAATAAAAGAAATAAATATAAATTATCAATATAATGACAATGATAAAAAAAAAAAAAAAAATAATCTTATACACTCTGTATATAAATAAAAAAGGGAAACGGTAAAAAATGAACATATTATACAATCAACAAACTCAAATACAACACCACCAACCATTTCATCTGGAACAGGGGAAGAGTCAACCACTTCATCTAAAAATAACTTATCATCAATTAATTCAAATACTTGAACAATAGAAAGCAATTATATTTCTACTGAAAAGTTATCGAATACTCTTGCTTCTTTTGATAAAGTAGATATTGATGATAAGCAAACAACAACAATCAAAACTATAAATAACAGTTCATCTTCAATTTGCAACTAATAATTTAAAAAAAATCGCCATCTTCTACACCTTCATCATCATCATATAATTTAACACAACCATCACCATTTAATAATAACAGCAACACCTCACCATTGGTACCTCCACAACATCTACTTCCATTACCAGTTTAAATAAAAATATCTCTGCAAAATTAAATAATAGTGTAAAAAACGAGCTAAAATAATATAAATAAAATAACATAAATAATAATATAGATTAAAATCTAATTTTAATAATAAAAGAAAAAAATAAATCGCTTGACCATCATCAATTTACCCCATTTGGATTAATGTGATGATGGAATCAATTTTGTTTTTAGATAATTTTAGAATATATATACTAAACTTTATTCCACCCACCGTACAATACTTGTTTTTACATAACTTCAAGTATCAATTAATACCTGGTACAATTCCAAACCATTTAAATTATCTTATATTTGATTATGGTTTCTCTCAAAGTTTAACAAAAGGTATTATCCCTGACTCTGTAACCTATATTTATATGGGCGATGTGGTCTATCCTTTAGAACCTGACTCAACTACCAAAAAACAATATTCATTATTCTCACAACTACATACATCCAAAAATAAAATATTAAAAAGAAAAATAATATCTATTTATAAAATTATGTTTTTTTTTTGTAATTAATCAATATTTAAACTAAAAGATGTTTTGAAAAATTTAACACCATTTTCGCTTTAAAAAAGTGGGTATTAATTTTAATAACACAAAAAATCTATTAGAAAAAAAAATGAGAAAAAATAGATAATGTGAGTCATTTGAAAATATAAATTAGGTGGATACATTCTTTTGATTAAAAATTGATTCTTTTTAAAAAAATTAAAATTTAAAAAAATAAATAAAAAAAAAATAAAAAAAATAAAATTTTTTTTTAATAAAAAAGAAAAGATTTATTTTTTTTTAACAAAAAAGATATTATTAAATATATTACTTTTAGTTTTATTTTTAAAAATGACAGAAAATAATAATATAGAAAACAATAGCATAGAAAACAATTCTGTAGAAAATCATGATTTAGACAATAATAATAATACTAATAATAATAGTAATAAAGACAATATTCCATCTTTAACATATTTTAATTCAAGAGGCCTTGCTCAATTTATTAGAGTACTACATGCCTATTTAAATATACCATACAATAATATAGTAATAGATACCATAGATGATGTATTAAGAGTTCAATTACCATACTCTCAATTACCAATTTATCGAGATGGTCCAGATTTTATATTGGCACAATCTTCAGTTATTGCAAAATATGTTGCAGCTAAACATAATTTTTTAGGAAAATCAATTCAAGAACAATATAAAATAGATGAAGTTGTTACATTGATAGTTGCAGATTTATTTGGAATTTTACGTTCAACAGAGGTACTATGCTTTTATTATTTATTTTTATTTAAAATAAAAAATAATTAATCTTTTTTTTTTTTTTTTTTTTTTTTTTTTTTTTTAGCCAGAAACTATTAGAAAAGGTATTGATAAAGTATTTGGATCATTAGAAAATAAATATAATAAAAGTAAATTCTTGGTTGGGGATGATTATTCATTAGCAGATCTATATGCATATGTATCATTTGATTATACAATTTTTTTAGGTAAAATTAGTGCTAGCGAAGCTTCAGAGAAATTTGTTAAACTAGAAGAAAATAAAAATCATTTTGAAAGTAATCCAGGGGTTATAGAATATATTAAAAATAGACCAGATACCAAGTTTTAGTTGATCAAATAAATTACTATTCAATTATCCTCAAAGATTAAATATTAGCGTCAATGTAATCGAATACTACCCACAATCAGTTTCAAATAAAAACAACATACTTTATTTAAAATTTTAAAATACAATTTCTTATAATAAAAAAATACTTTATAATTATATTAATATTAAATAGTAATAATTAAATTTATAGTTGATATTAATTTTAATAAAGTAAACTTTTAAAAACTACCCTTTTGTTTTTATTTTTTTTATTTTATATATAAAATTTAGATTTTTATTTAATAATTTAAAATTAATTTCATTAAAACTTCCATGTTTGGTCTACCTAAACCAGAAACAGTATCGAAACCAGAAACAGCAGTGTAACCACTATCACAACAGAATGGTTTGAAATCACTGAGACCACAACGATTATTACCAACGACAACATCATAGAAAGCTTCTGGATGTTCTCTGTAAATTTGGTAGAATAATGGATTGATAAAACCAAGAGCTGGTAAACCAGCATTTAAACGAATATCATTTAAGATAGTGATCATACCAGCAAAAATTGGAGCTGAAGCAGAGGTACCATCGACTGATAACCATTCACCACCATTAATAACATAAAGATTGTGACCAACCTAAGCAATAAAAAAATAAAATTATAAAAATTAATATATGAATAAACCATTTAAAATATTTTATAAAATAACTTACACTTGAAAAATCTGGATAAGCTCTACCTTTTGAATTCCAAATATTTGATGGTGGAACAACATTTAATTCATTTAATTTTTCGATATAAGATGAAACAAAATCTTCTTGGTAAAAAGCAGTAGTTGTAAAGTTACTGAAACCACCACCACTACTCCATAACATACCATAATCAAGTGAGACACCAACTTCACCAATAGTATTTGATTGACAATTAACACCACCAGCACTTGTTGGTTCATAACAGATTGGAACAGCATATGGAGTGAAATAGATTGAACCAACAGAGGTTACATATGGTGAATTTGATGGCCAATCAGCGTGAAGAGTATTACAGTTATCTGTGCTCATTGGTTCACCACCTAAATCACCAGCACCTGAATCACCACTAGCAATAACAATTGTGATACCTCTATATTAATTTAAAGTAGTGAAAAAATGATAATTAGTATTTTATAAAGTGGAGTAGTAGTAATATCATAGCTGATTTCTTACCTAAGAGCAACTTTTTGGAATTCGATTTCTGAACGAGCCATATAACCGTTACCTAAATATTTATCAACATTAAATTCAGTCATACCATATGAAAGTGAATTAACAAGTGGTGGGTTTTCAGTACCAGCAATAGCAATGGCCCATTGTAAAATATCATCAATTTCAGCGGAACTATTAGTGTAAATTGACCAAAAAGTAGTTTCAGCACCTGGTGCAACACCCATCATATATTGAATATCTAAAGATGCCTAAATATTAAAAAGACAAAGTAATACATTATGTTAATTGACATTAAATCTCTCGATTATAATTTAAACCTAAAATATTAATAATAAAATTTACCTCTACACCTGGATTTGAAACATCATTATAACCAATTAAATTAACAGTAGCATTATTAACTAAACCCATAGAGTTAAAGAATGTGGTTAAATCTTGTGGACTGTAATATTGTTGTTCAAATTCGACGACACATTGAGTGGCGTTTGGATTAGAAACAATATAGTTATTTGGAATACCATAATAATCTTTAATAGTTTGTGGTACAACGATTGGTGTTGAAACAAAGTTGAATGGCCATACATTGGTATCTCTGGTAATGGTATCCAAGATAGAAACTTGTTGTGGTTGGTATAAGTAACTGTTAGCATTAACAATACAAACTGGTAAATTATTTTGAATTGAACAAGTTGGCATAATATCTTCACTAACGATAGAGTTATTGACGACTTGATTTAAAGTGGTAGTGGTAATAGTAACTGGATAGTATTTATTGTTACATGTTGGTGAACAACTTGGTTGATAAGTTACTTTCATATATTCACCAGTACCTTTAATACTGATAATTCTTAAACCAGTATCTGAGAAACCATCTGATGATGATGATGAACTTGAAGTCATTAAATCATAATCATTTTCATCGAATGATTTTAATGATCTATCTTTTTTATCTAATAATAATAAATAATAATTGGTAAGTATGAATTTCTTTTAAAAATGAAATAATAATAATATTTTTAAAATACTAACACATTGGGAAATTTGAAATACCAGTAATTAAATCAATATGATTTTTTAATTTTGAATTAAGAATTGGATCTTCCGATGAACGAAGAATTGATTTACCATTTGGATGAGTATAGCTATCGATTTTAACATTCATTAATTTTTCGACTGAACTCTTTTTCATGGTGACTTTGACAACATCTTTATTTGGACCATATTCCATTTTTAATGGTCTGTGTGGTTTAATCCAGTTTTCAACAGTTTTAATAGTTTCGTGTGATGGAGCAACAATGTTGGTGATGTCATTAACTGATAAATAATTACCATATTGTGATGATTTTGGATCTGAAATTAATTTGATAGTATCTTCTAAAACTTCTGCATTTTGTTGCTTCAAGTAAACATTGAATGTCATTGATGCATGATTTGGGATTCTTTCACTTTGAATTTTTCTGACCCATCTACTTGATTCATAATGTTTCCCGAATGAGAAACTTACAAATAAAATTAAAATTAATGCTAATAATAATTTCATCTTAAAAAATAATAATAATAATGATCAAAAAAAAAAAAAAAAAAATTTATTAATAAAAAAAAATTAAAAAAAAAAAAATAAATTAAAAAAAAATAAATAAAAAATAATTTTTCGAATTGGATAAAGAAGTTTCGTTTAGTGGCTAAACTCGCATGTTTTTATGATATTTTTTTTTTAGAATTAAACAAAGAATTCTGAAAATTCAATTGAATGTTAAATGTAATGTTAAATAAATAATTATATCTTTTTATTTTCCTAGTTTTTTTTTTTTTTTTTTTTTTTAAATTATTGTGAAAATAGGAATTGTATTATGATTATTTATGCTTGATGTTTTTGAAATGAAACCGAATTGATATACTTGACCAGGATTAAAATCTTTATAAGCATAAACGGGTAGGGTAAATTGATCATTGGATATTTTTATAATATTCCAAAAACTAGTTTCGTCTCTTAGAACTATATTTGTTTTGAATGATAATGATGTTATTGGACTAGTATTATTATTCAATATTGATGTAGTCATTTGAGTAAATACCATATCACCTTCACTCCATTTATTTTCAATTTTAGTTGTAAATAAAATATTATCAAAAGATGATAGTGATGTTAAATTACATTTTTGATTAACATTTAAAATTTGATTATTATTATCATTATTATTTTCATTATTTATTAATTGAAGTGAATATAAATCATCCCATAAAAAACCAGTAAAAATTGTATTTTTACATTCTGTTAATTTAAATTTCATATTGGATGTACCAATCGTAACAAAAGCATCTTTTGAAATATAAAAATTGCCAAAATAGTATCTAAATGTATGTTCATTTGAAAACATTTGGGTGTCATTGTTGTCGTTATTTTGATATACATTGGATACTGAATAAATTCCATCTTTATTATACAATAATGAACCATTGTTGATTAATTCTCCTTTTCCATATATAATTTCACCATTACTTTTTATTACGGTCATAGTAATTGAAAATTTCTTATTTACATTATTATTAAAATAATTATTTATTAAATAGTTTTTACATTCATCACCCACTATTATTTGGATCAGCATAAATATTATAATTAATATTTTATTAAAATTAATATAGTTTTTCATTTTTATTATAAAATAATATTATTTAAATAAAATTATTATAAATTTTTTTTTATATTTTTTTATAATATTTAAAAAAAATAAATATATTTACATTAATATATTAATATATTAATAATAATAATATTAATATTAATAATAGTTTAAATTAAATCATTATCCAATGGAATTACTATATTTATTAATTCAAATTATTTTGATATTATTTTTATAATCACTTTTTTGTTAAATGTATTATATTTATTTTTATAGTTATTGTTATATTCAGAGATTGGATCTATACTTTTTTAATTTAAAAACTTTGCTCTAAATAAAAATCTATAATTTTTTTAAAAAAAAAAAAAATGGGGGGAAATATAAAAGGAAAGAAATATTATCGTTTTTTTTTTTATATATAATAAATCATCATTATCTAAAAATAAGAAACAAACTCTAAATATATATTTTAATATAATAAGTATATTTTTTATTTAAAAAAATTTGATTAAAAAAATTTTAGATTATTGTTTTTGATTTTTTTATTTTTTTTGTACACTTTTATTTATTACCCAATTTATAACATAAATTTTCTAAAATTATAACTATTTCAAAAATTTCTGAAAATTTTAGTTCCTTTGTTGAATGCTCTAATTTTCCTTTATCTTTTGAATTAAATAAATAAAACATTCTCCAGATCTTTAATAATGAAAAGATTTTTTTATGGAACTCACCATTTGTTTGTTTATCTTTTAAAACAATTTGTCCAAGGTAAAAACCTAATTTGTTTTCTTTTTTTAAAATTGCCAATAAAACCAATGAAGAATTTAAACAACATAAATCTAAAAATAAAAATGAAAAATGAAAAAAATTAATAATTTAGATATTTTTTTAAAAATATTATTATTATTATTGTTACTTACTTCCTAAATCTAATGTCTCTGGAGTTAAGACATCGATAAAATTCAAAATCATTGTTTTTTTATTTTTTTCAAAATATTGTGAAACAATACAATTTTCGAAATCATATGGAATATAACTTGGATCGTCTTTGAATTTTTCATTTTCCAATTTGAAACTATATAATGATACTACTATTTGTCTAAGACCTACATTTGCATCGATGACATTCTCTAAAAAATAATTCAAAAATCCTTCTGGTTTGTCTTTGATGTTTTCTGTTAATATCTTAAATCCATATCTATTATTTTTTACAAGTTCTCCAAACAAATCGTAATTTAATTGACAAATTACAGAATTTTTATTTGCAACATCTTTGATTATATATTTTAAAAATCCTCTTTCAATAAAATAATTTTGTAAACTGTTGTCTGGCCATGAACGTAGGAATGTCTCTAAACAATATGTAACATGTGATCTTTCTCTTTCAGCAAATCTACAATCTATAAATGCATTGACAATTGATAATATAACTGAACTTTCTTTTGCATTAAATTCTTTCACTAATTTGTTATAATGTAATTGATTATTATTATTATTTATAGAATTTTCATCATTATTATTTATATTGTTATTATTAATTTCTCCATTTTCTTCATTATTTTCATTTTCTTCACTAGAATCTTGAACATTACTTAAATCACCTAAATTAATTTCTGGTATACCCTCTCTATCATAACAACAATTTTTATCTTCACATGGTTGATTTTTAATTTTATGGAGTTCTTTTTCGGTTGCAAATTGATTACCAAATGATGATACAAGATAATTATCGTTATAGACTAAAAATAATCTTATGATTTGAGTTTTTCTAATATAAAATGGATTAAAATCATTTTTAAATTCCTAAATTTTATTAAAAAAATAATAAATAATTAATATAAATCTAAAAAAAAAAAATATTTTATAATACATACCGATTTTTTCCAATCAATAAGTTTAAAAATTTTATAAAAAATATCCATAAAATTTAATTTTTTTAATTCTGTTAAAATTTGAAATTTTCTTGAACCATTTATTAAACTGAACAATATAATTAAAATTTCAGATTGATATGCTGCAGTTGAATATGATTTTAAAGCTTTTATTGGATCCTCACCATCTTGGGGATAAAAATTTAAACCTTGTAATGTGTTTAATGCATCCTCAGTTGACAACATCGTGGCACTATATCTATCTGGTGAGGAAACAAGCTCTTCATTTACTAAATCGCTCTCGTCATCGCTCATTTCGTTATGATCTACTCTTAAAACTGGTGATATCCAAGTATCTTGTGTTGATTTTCTTAATGGTGATACTAGTTTTTTTAAAAATCCTGGTATATTAAATACAATTGCTATAAATAATTAAGTTATAGTTAGTATATATGTCTAATATGTATGTTTTTATTAAATTATAATATCAATAGCTTACTTTGATTAATTGTATAGATATTTTCAACTTTATCTCTCAATTCCAGAGCACTTTGAATACAGCTGGTGCTATCTTCTGTAAAAAATGTGCATGCTGATAAAATTTTAATGAATAAATAAAATTGAGTATGATTGAATGTGCACCTTGCGATTTCATAAAATTTTTTAATGTCTCTTAAATCGAGTGGCGTATTTGTCGTTGACAATAAATCATTTAAAAATAACATTGTATGCTCACGAAGACCAGTTTCAATAATTAAATTAAATATTTCAGAGATAAATCCTTTTGCCTCTAATACCCATTTTGAGAAAAAACTAATATCAAGTAACTCTCTCATAATTATGATAGCTGAATTTATAATTTCTCTCCTAGCCCTGGCAATTTGAATATAATCGGAAAAACTTGGTGTACTATTATTATTATTATTATTATTATTATTATTATTATTATTATTATTATTATTATTATTATTATTATTATTATTGGAATCATCTGTTGACATGCTCCCTAATTTTGAATTTATATGATTAATACTATCATTATTAAAATTGTTTTTATTAAATATTAATCTTTGTAGAGTAAGGTGGCCTTTCATTGAAATGAATATTTCCCCGCCTTTTTTATTTGTTCTTATTAATGCAAAAATATCTTCAAGATTTTCTAAAATCTATTTATAATAAAAAGAGTATTTTATTATTGGTATGCAATTTCTATTTTACTATATTTTTTTATAAAGATATGAACTTACCTTATCTAATGATATAATATCAAAACTTCTATTATTTAAAAACTCCTCAATAGAGTTAACTACATCATACATTCTTTGAAAAAATTTTTTTTGGGCAGATAAAAAATCAACATTATTTAAAAACTTTGTTTTATTTGTATATCGAATGCCAAGCTCTTCTTTAAACAAGATATTTGTTAAGTTTATTTCTTTTGTTTTCATTTTTATTCTAATTACAAATTATGAAAAGAAAAAGAAATGTTATTATTTATGCTATTAATTTGTATTTATTTTGAATTTAAGTGGAAAAAATTAATAAAAAAATAAAAAAATAAAAAAATGGTTTTTAATTAAAAAAAATAAATTTATTTTTTTTAAAAATTTTTTTTTTAATTATTTTTTTTTTTTTTAATAACTTACAAAAAAATTTACTTTACCCATATTTTTATATGATTATTTTTCTTTTATATTTTTTAAGATAGCCTATTGAAAATTTTTTTTTATGTTGTCCCAAAAATTCGAGTTTGTTTCTTTATCTATTAAATAATTTGTTTTTTTTTTTGGAATTGCCAATAATCTGAGAGGATTTTTAAATATAATGTCTTTAAATTTTATCGATGTCTTAACTACGGAAATATTCAATCAAGTACAATCATAAAAAGAGTAAAATAGTTATTGGCATTAACACTAACAACCAAAGAGTAAAACAAAAAAATATATAAAATAAAATATAAAATAAAAAAAAACTCATGTAATATTAAATTATTACTTATAATATTTGAAATTTATTTAAATTTTATAATATTTTACATATAAATTTTGAAGAACAAAATTATTTATCATTTCTGTTTACTATAATTTATTATTACTATGGGTCAATTTTATCAATATTGTGTTGGGATTCATTTGTTGGTGGGGCCGATGGGGCTGTTGGAGGAGTAACTGTGGGATATGGTGGTGGTGCAGCTTGGGCTTGTGGTGGTGCAGCTTGGGCTTGTGGTGGTGGTGGTTGATAATAACCTGCTGGTGGTGGTTGATAAATTTGTTGTTGTTGTGGGTTTGATGCTTGTGGGTAATAAACTGGAGCTGATGGATTTGGTTGTCCATATGGATTATGTTGTGATGGTTGTGGTGGATATTGTTGAGAATATGGTTGTTGTGCCATCATTGGTTGTTGTTGTTGTGGATAACCCGGTTGTTGTGCCATCATTGGTTGTTGTTGTGGATAACCCGGTTGTTGTGTCATCATAACTGGTGATCCTGTTGCTGTTGTTGTAGTGGTTTGTACAACATTAATAGTTGTTCCTCCTCTATTGTCATACTATACACAAATGTTAAATATTAGTTTATTTTTTTCAATTACTCGAATTAATAAAAATAAAATTAAATCTTACTTTAGAGTTTTCTTCCTCAACCATTACTGGAATTAAACATATATCACTGTTGGTTATATATTTATTAAAAAGAAATGTTGTTAGTATTCCAATTACCTTTTAAAATCGTAGTATTGAACATTCACTTACATAAACCAACCTATAATGAAACCACCAAGCTGTTTAATGATAAAAGAATATTAGAAACAATGAATATGAAATATTTATAAATGTTGAGTTTATATAAACTTACGGTTAGTAAATAAAATACACCACTACATGGACGATTTAAATAAAATCTGTGAACTCCAAAAAATCCTTAAGTTTTATTAACAATTAATTAGTTTCTCTCCTTTTGCAATAAATAAAAATAATAATATTAAAAAAAAAAAAGTTAAATAAAAGGAGTATCTATCTTACCAAAGAAAAGCCATAAAACATAGCTTACACATACTGACTTATAGGCCATTGAATATATTTATATATATCACTGTTTAGGTGTTTTGTTATTAATATGCAAGAAAAATAAATTTAAAAAATAAAAACAAATTATAATTAGTAGGTTGGCAAATTTTAAAAAAAAAAAATTAGAAAAAAATTAAAATTGAAAAATATTAAATATTTTTTTTTTTTATTTTTTTATTTTTTTATTTATTTATTTATTTATTTATTTTTATTTTTAAGTTACTTAATAAAAAATACACAATCCCCATATTGAGATATACCCCATTGATCTATTTATAACTATAGAAGAATGAAAAATAACATTGTGAATTTTTTTAAAAAAAATAAAAATAATATTAATTTAATTTTAAATATTATTTTCTGTAGTGGTTGTAGTGGTAGTGGTAGTGGTTGTAGAGTATGTTGTTGATGTTGATAATGTTTCTATTTCTGCTGCTTCATTTGTTGATTCTAATTCCCCGCTACTAATTTCTTTATCATTTTGAATTGGTGTATCATTACTAATTTCTTCAACACCCCAAATTACATCTTCAGAATCTGGCACCTTCTCTAAAAACGGAGTGTTTGGCGATATGATTTCAAAAAGTTTTTTAACTTGGCTGATATGATATTCATAATCGATAGTTGCATTTAATGGTGAGTCTGAACAAACCAAAATATTATTATTATTTAAATTATTATTTGAATCATCAACATTTTCAACTGTAAAATTAAAAAATGAGCTCCAAAGTAACTCTTCTTGATTGGGTATTATAACATTAACACACTCTTTGAGATCGTCTTCTGCTTTTGAATTGTCTGTAGATAAAGTGGTGATTTGAATAAGTGCTGATAAAAAAAAAAAATTAATAATTTTATCATAATTATTTATTATTAATTATCAAACTTACTCTTTCCTTTGTTATATGGAACACAAATTGAAGCAAATTGTAAAATATTTATAACATTTTTATTATTATTAATTGAATTTGGAGGAATTGTAATGAATGATTGTTCTTCAGTACCATTAATTCTGGAATTAGTAATACCAATAAATCTTGAGCTGAATATTAAAAAAAAAAACAATGTTAATATTATTCTATATTTCTTCTTATTAACTTTTGAATGCTTACTAAGTTTTTTTGGTTGTATTAATTGTAGTTGAAGTTAATAAACTATTATTTAAATATTTTGGTGAAGAAACGAGGTATTTGGTTTTAATGGTTTGACCTTCTGAACAAATTACAGATTCAATAGGATTTGAATGATCGTTATCTTTGTATTGAATAGTATTAATAGTACGACCTAAAACATAAGTACCACCAAAAACAGCGCAGAGTCTACAAAAAGCTTGAGGGATATCACCACAACCATAATAAGGTAAAAGGAATGGCGATTGACCATAGACTAAAAGTGATGAGGTGTAAAGGAATACTGATTCAATACCATCGACTAAAGAGAGACTATCTAAATTTTCATGAATTAATGAAACACCATAGAGTACAAATGATTCGACTTGCTCTGTAAATTGGAAACTCTTTATATAATCTTTGAATAACTGATATTTGCTTGAAAGCTCATTCATCAATTGAGTAGATTTCTCTGGTTCCTCTGGTGACTTTAAATCTTTGATTGATTCGAAAAACTTCATAATTAAACGTTTCTCTTTTAATGAAAATGCACTATCTTTAAAAATTGAACCTTTTGTTGATGGAATTGGGTGTACCTTCTTATTAATATAAAGATAGTTTTGGTCCAAAGATTTGAATTCTAAATATTTTGAAGCTGATGATGAAATTAATAATTTGACTAATGCACCACGAGAATACAATAAAGTTGGTGCGATATCAATTGAAAACATTCTACCTAATTCATTTAATGTTTTTTCTTTAACAACAACTGGTGATGGTTCATCAACTTTAATTTCGACCTCTTCTTTATTTTCCTCACCCTCTTTATTTTCACTATCTTCTTTATTTTCGATTTCTTCTTTATTTTCTTCAGTTTCCTTTTTCTCTAAATTTTCTTTTTCTAATCTTTCTTTTTCTAATCTTTCTTTTTCTTCTTTATCTAATCTTTCTTGTTCATAGTTTTTAATTATTACATTTGAAAAATAGGGTGGAATTAAATCTTTTTTTTCTTTTAATAATTCAGTATTTGATTCTTCTAAAAGTGTAGTTAACTGACCCAATGAAAATGATCCATCAAATCCACCATAATTCATCTTTTCATCTAAATGCAATACTGATTTTCCTGATCTTGACAAGGCACTAAAAAAAAGATTTTTATAATATTAGTTTTTAATAAAACACACATTTTTTTTTTTTTTTTTTTTTTTTTTTTTTTTAAATAAATAAATAAATACCCTGCTAAAAGTGATTCGATAAAACCAGTACCTAAAATAACACAATCATAGCTATCATTTTCTCACCAGACCCCATTTTTTTTTTTTTGGTTTTTCCCCTTTTTAAAGGGTGGGTTTAAATTTTTAAAAAAAAAAAAAAATTTTAAAAAAATTTAAAAAAAAAAAAAATTTTAAAAAAAAAAAAAAAAATTTAAAAAAAAAAAAATTTTAAAATTTTAAAAAAAAAATTTTTTTTTTTTTAAATTTTTTAAAAAAAGGGAAAAAAAAAAATTTTTTAATGGGGGGGAAAAAATTAAAACGGTTTTTTTTTTTTTTTAAAAGAAAAAAAATTCTTAAAAAACCCCCAAGCCCCCCCCCCCCCCAAAAAAATTTTTTTTTTTTTTTTTTTTTTTTTTTTTTTTTTTTTTTTTTTTTTTTTTTTTTTTTTTTTTTTTTTTTTGTTTGGTTAATTGATCATTTGATCATGTTGAATTAACTTTATCTAAACAACTCTAACTTTGTGTAAGCTCATTAGGAATTTTAAAAAAAAAATTAAGAAAGCTCTATGAAAGTGAATTTAAAAAATAAAATTTACATGTTAAAGTTTTGTTGGTATCATTGTTTGGTAATGAGCTAGGTTCAATTGAATCATAATTTCCCAAAATATTTTAATTATTGTTAAGATGCAACCAATTATTTCTGTTTTTTTTTGAATGGTTAAAACCTGAAGTTTTAAAATCATTCCCATCTTATCAAATTGATATTGTCATTTTATTTTATTTATAGTTTTATTAAAATGTAATATTATTATTTTAATACTTTTATTTTTATTTTGTTTGGTAATGTGCCGGGTGGAATTACTTGCTTATAATCACCACCGAAGGTGAGTGTTGTAAGACTATTTGGTAATGTGCCGGGTAGAATTACTTGATTAAAACAATAACCGAATGTGAGTGTTGTGAGACGATTTGATAATGTGCCAGGTAGAACTACTTGGTTATAATCATGACCGAATGTGAGTGTTGTGAGACTATTTGGTAATGTACCAGGTGGAGTTACTTGATTAAAATAATCACCGAATGTGAGAGTTGTGAGATTATTTGGTAATGTGCCAGGTTGAACTACTTTGTTATAATTACCACCGAATTTGAGTGTTGTGAGACTATTTGGTAATGTCCCGGGTGGAATTACTTTGTTAAAGCCATAACCGAATGTGAGTGTTGTGAGACTATTTGGTAATGTGCCGGGTAGAACTTCTTCATAAAAACAATTACCGAATGTGAGTGTTGTGAGATTATTTGGTAATGCGCCGGGTAGAATTGATTGGCAAAACCTAGTACTGAATGTGAGTGTTGTGAGACTATTTGGTAATGTGCCGCGTGGAACTACTTGGTTAAAATAATAATCGAATGTGAGTGTTGTGAGACTGTTTGGTAATGTGCCGGGTGGAATCAGTTGGTTAAAATTATAACCGAATGTGAGTGTTGTGAGACTGTTTGGTAATGTGCCAAGTAGAACTACTTGGTTATAATCATGACCGAATGTGAGTGTTGTGAGACTGTTTGGTAATGTACCGTGTGGAATTACTTGGTTAAAATGATAACCGAATGTGAGTGTTGTGAGATTATTTGGTAATGTGCCGCGTAGAATTACTTGGTTATAATCACCACCGAATGTGAGTGTTGTGAGACTATTTGGTAATGTGCCGGGTGGAACTATTTGGTTAAAACCATCACCGAATGTGAGTGTTGTGAGACTATTTGGTAATGTCCCGGGTAGAAATACTTGGCCAAAATAATCACCGAGTGTGAGTGTTGTGAGACTATTTGGTAATGTGCCGAGTGGAACTAATTGCTTAAAACAACGACCGAATGTGAGTGTTGTAAGATTTTTTGGTAATGAACCGGGTAGAATTACTCGGTTAAACATAGTACCGAATGTGAGTGTTGTGAGACTATTTGGTAATGTGCCACATTGAACTACTTGGTTAAAACCATAACTGAATGTGAGTGTTGTGAGACTATTTGGTAATGTGCCGGGTCGAATTACTTGATTAAAATCATTACCGAATGTGAGTGTTGTGAGACTATTTGGTAATGTGCCGGATGGAACCACTTGGTTAAATGCATAACTTAATGTGAGTGTTGTGAGACTATTTGGTAATGTGCCGGGTAGAATTACTTGGTTAAAATGATAACCGAATGTGAGTGTTGTGAGACTATTTGGTAATGTGCCGGGTAGAATTTCTTTGTAAAAATCATGACTGAGTGTGAGTGTAGTAATTGTATTTGGTAAAGTTGTTGGAGTTAACATTCTACAAAAAGAGTACAAATATAAATTTGTCAAAAATGGTGGAAATTCATTTTTATCTGGTAGATGATCACCACACCACTTAAGTGTTGTTATATATGATTTATATTTAAAATAGTCATAACTGGATATATCAAAATATTTTTCACAATGTTCAATAAACTTTAAAATGTGTTTATAAATTTTTCTTCTTAAAAATATGTTATTCCAAACTATATATAATAATCTATAATAAATAGTTAAAAAGAGAAAACACCAATTAATATGCTTTTAATTAATCTATTATTTATATTTATTTATTGTATTGTATTGTATTGTATTGTATTGTATTGTATTGTATTGTATTGTATTGTATTGTATTGTATTGTATTGTATTGTACCTATCACTAATATTGCTACTGTTTTTTAACTCTTCATTTACAGGAAAGTTAATTAGAGATGATAGTAGCTCTTCCATTGTTAGTATGAAAATTAATTTGCAAAAAATTTATATTTCCCATAAAAATTTAAAAAAAATAAAAAAATAAAAAAATTTTATAAATCAAATTTTTTTAAACCAACCACATATTTCTTAAAAATAACAAAAACATATAAAAAAAAGAATAAAATTATTTCAAATAATGTTTTTTTCAAAAACATTTCTATTTAAAACCTTTAGAAATAATCTAAATAAATTAAATTTATTTATAAAAAAAAAAGTTTAAACTATTATCAAAGCTCTATCTATGATCTTTTTATAATCCTTTTTTTTTATTATGGTTTCGTAAGAGCCATTGGGTTTCTATTGATTATTGATTTGCCTTTTAGATCCATTTGATTCTTTAATTGCTATATACCTATATTTTCTAAATCAAAGTAAAACATGTAATAAAAAAAAAAATTAACTGAATAATTAAATAATATATATTAAATTAATTTAAGTTTGAAATTAATTCTTTGAATATTATATATAATAACTTAGTTTTAAAAAAAGAAATCTTTTTTTTTTTTTGTTTTTTATTGATTTTTTTTTCATTTTTTTTATTTTTTTTAATTTTTTATTTTTTTTATTTTTTTTTAAAAATTTATTTTGTTTTTAAAAAAAAAAAGATATGAAAAATAATTTGTACAATACCAATTTTCCCAACATTCATAAATTTTTAAAATTTCGATTACAAATCTATAGTGGTAATATCAGTAACACTTGTAGTATTTTTATAGTAGGAAAACAAACAAAAATTAATACTATAAATAACTATAAATCCAATCATAATTATTGTGGATATAGCAGTTTTACAAATAAAGATATTGATTATAATAAAAAACAAAGATTTTTTAGCACAGGTTATAATAATAAAACACTGGGCTATTCAAAAAAGAATAATTTTACTAATAATAATAATAATAATATAAATAATAATAATAATAATAAAGTTTTCATGAAACCATTTATAGGAGCTATTGATCAAGGTACATCAAGTACAAGATTTATTTTATTTGACAAGAATGGTGAAATTATATTATCACATCAAATTATTTTAAATCAACATCATCCACATCCAGGGTAAATATTTTAAAAAAAAAAATTATAGGTGACAAACTTTTATAAAAACTAATTTCTAATTAATTTTTTAGATGGGTCGAACATGATGGTAAAGAAATTTTAGATTCAGTCAATAAATGTATTGATGTTGTAATGAAACAATATTATGAAAAGGGATATGGTACAAAAGAGGATATTAAAGCAATTGGTATAACAAATCAAAGAGAAACAACTATAGTATGGGACAAAACAAATTCAAAACCATTACATAATGCAATTGTTTGGTGCGATACACGTACATCAGATTTAGTACAATATTTTACATCAAAAGCTAAAAAAGAACATCAACAAAATAATAGTAATAATGAGTGTGATAATAATAATAATAATAAAAGTTTAATAAATATTAATAATAACGACTTTAAAAACTATTTAAGAAACAAATGTGGTTTACCAATTAGCACTTACTTTTCAGGTTTAAAATTAAAATGGTTTTTTGACAATTGCGAAAATGTTAGAAACAGTCATTCTAAAGGAGAATGTTTAATGGGTACAATTGATAGTTGGTTGGTTTGGAATTTAACAGGTGGTCAATCTCATGTTACTGATGTTACCAATGCAAGTAGAACAATGTTAATGAATTTAGAAACATTAAAATGGGATAAGAGTTTATGCGATTTCCTTGAGGTTCCAATCGAAATATTACCAGAAATTCATAGTTCATCAGAAGTTTATGGTTATGTTAAAGAAGGTCCACTTGAAGGTATTCCAATTGCAGGTGTTTTAGGTGATCAACAAGCTGCTATGGTGGGTCAAATGTGTTTTGAAAAAGGACAAGCTAAAAACACCTATGGTACAGGTTGCTTCTTATTGTATAATACTGGTAATGATATCGTCTACTCTAGAAATGGTCTTTTAACAACTGTATGCTATCAATTTGGACCAGAATCAAAAGCAGTCTATGCATTGGAGGGTGGCGTTGCAGTTGCAGGTTCAGGTGTTAGATGGTTAATTGATAATATGGGTATTGCCAAAACTAGTCAAGAAATTGAGGATTTGGCTACATCTGTTAAAGATACAGGTGGTATGTATTTTGTACCAGCATTCTCAGGTTTGTTCGCACCATATTGGAGAGAAGATGCAAGAGGTGTAATGGTAGGATTGACTCATCACACCAATCGTTGTCACATGGCTAGAGCCGTATTAGAGTCGACATGTCTTCAAACCTATGAAGTTTTAGAAGCAATGCAAAAAGATTCTGGTGACACATTATTAGAGCTCCGTGTAGATGGTGGCATGGCAAAGAATAACCTTTTACTTCAAACTCAAGCAGATCTCCTTAGTCTCCCAGTTGTTAAACCATGTAATTTAGAAACCACCTGCTTTGGTGCCGCTTTTGCTGCTGGGTTAGCCGTGGGTGTTTGGAAAGAATCAATGGAGTTTAAAGTTGGCTCTAAATTTACTCCTCAACTAGATCAAAAGAATAAAATGAAAAAAGTAAACGAATGGAAGAAAGCAGTTTCAAAATCTTTAAATTGGGTTGATTCAATCGAAGATTTAAATAATGATACAGAAGAAACAATTAGTATTCAAGTATCAACTTCAACTGATAAACTAAACGAATAAATAGAATATGTAAAAAATATGTAAAAAAAAAAAACTTTAAGATGTATTTTAACTTTTTTTATTTTATTTCTTTTTCTTTTATCTTTTTCTTTTTTTTTAAAAAGAAATCTCTTGATTATTAATAAATATAAAAAAAATAATTAATTTTTTATATTAATAAATTTTTTTTAATAAAATTAATCATCTTTAAGATTGTAAAAGTGGCCATATTTTGGATAGGTCCATGGGGTTTTAACTTGTTGAACACCGCTTCTTGAGAATTCGGTTTCGGTAGAGCTATTGTTTATATTTAAACCATTACTTGATTTATTTATTAAAACAAATGATTGCATAGATTCTAAAAGAGGAAAATAAAAAAAGATTGTTAGAATATTAAAATACTACTAAATTTTTTAATATTAAAAATATTTTTAATAGATATTTACTTAAGATTGTCATTTTATTTTATTATATTATAAACAATATTTTAAAAATATTTTATTTTTTAATATATTTATTATTTTATAATTTATTGTTATTTAATGAAAAAAATATAAAAAAAAGATTTATATTTATACCAAATTTGAAAACAAAAAATTAAAAAAAAAAAATAATAAAAATAAAAAATAAATAAATAAATTTATTTATTTTAATCTTTGAAAAAATATAAATATATTAAACTAATATCTAATAATAGAAAATGATAAAGATACTAACTTTATCATATAACCCTTTTACTCTATTTTAGGTATAAAAAAAAAAAATTAAATTATTATTCTGTTGTAAGGAGAATATTATATATTTATTGGTATCATTGTATATACAAAAGTAGAATAGGAATAAAAATAATATTTAAAAAAACAAAAAAAATTATAATTCAAACAAATTTTTTCTTGTTTTAAATGGAATTTATATAGATTAGTGGTTGTGGTTATGGTGGTGATGTGATAAATTCAAATATTAATAACAAACAACAAACAAACAAAAAACAACAACAACAACAACACTTTAAATAGTTATTTTAATTAGGTTAATATACATTTATATACATTTTTATTACACCTACATAATTCAAGCAAAAATAATATTTCATTATTTTAATTTTTATTCAAATATTTTTATTTATATCTCGATTTTATCATATTATCCTTTTATAAAAAACAATATTTTCTTTTTATTAACTTATAAGGATATCATTTAAAAACTCATTAACACACACTTATACCCACATCACCCCTCCCCCCTAAACCCACTAAACTTTTTTTTTTTTTTTTTAAAATACATTCACACTCACTCACATTTAGTAATTTTTAATTTATCATTTTTTATTATTATTTTAATAAACTAATACAAAAAATAAATTAAAATCAAAATTATACCAATAACAGTAATATTATTATTTGTATAAATTTGAATTACTTTTTTGTTTTAAAGAAAATGATATATAAAAAATAATTTTATATGTGGGTGTTTGAAGAAAAAAGAGAATTTTTTAATCTGAGAGTGTGCTTAAGTGTGTGTGATAGTTATATATACAAATCATTTGAAATTATAAATTAAATTTACTAAATATTGATTTTTTTATTTAATTATTGTTATTTTTGATTGATTTTTATAGATTATTTTGGTGTGTGATTAAAATTGTCTATATGTGTGTTGTTTTTGTTGGGGAATAAAAATAAATAATGGGTGTTTATTTTATTATAATAATATCATTTTTTCTCATTTTTAAATGATTGGATAGTGCACATACATGTATGTGTTTTTTTAGTGTGGTAATGTGTTTTATTTTTTAAGGTGAAAAAAAAAAATTTAATAATAAATATAATAAAAAAAGTGGTGAATGTGCAGTAGCATTGCAACAAATTAATCCATTTTGAGATAGTTAAAAATATGAAAAACTTTGAACCAAGTTCAAAATTTTACAAAAATTCTTTTTTTTCTTTTTTTAAAAAAAAATATTCATTTATCATACAAACACTATACATGAAATAGAGTTTGTTTTCATTAAATCCCTTCACTATTTCCATTAATGATATAAAGATTCAAAATTATATGTTCTTGTTATTTAAATCATAATTTTTTTTTACCCCACTATTGAATATATCAAATTTGAAAATTAAAACAAATTAAACACACTTAAAAAAAGTTGTTATTAAAATTACAGTTCTAACCTAAATTTAATATTGATACCCATAACTCATCATATGAACAACAATAATAACAATATTTTTGTTTTTCAACATCATCAAATTTCAGTTGTTTTTTTTTTCATTTTAAATAACTACAATTTTGAATTATCTTTATATGGTATAGATTGGATACAATAGCTTTTTTTAGTTCAACCACTATTTATAATAAAAATTTATTTAATTTTTTTAGTTCAATCATTAACTATATTAAAATTCATAACTGAATATAAACAAAAAAAAATTAAACTGGGTCTGAGATTGAAACAAGATATATTTCACTTAAATATACCCCAATTGTATTGAATATAATAACAATTGCCCATAATAACTTTTAACACTTTAATTATATATAAATCATCTGAACTTTTTTTTTTATATATTAAAAATAGTAATTTTTATCATCTATGACAAAGTTATATTATTGGTGTAATTGCATTACCTTTTTTTGTGTTTTTTTTATTATTGCTATTTAAATATTGTTATTTTCCTTTTTCTTTTACATTTATTAAATTAATCAAAAACAATTTGATAAATTTCATTTAAAATTAATAACAGAATTTTAATATGAAGAATTATTTGTTCAATTATAATTTATATATTTAAATATTTAAATAATTAAATATTTATAATTATCATAATTCAACAATTAGTTTCTATCATTTTAATAATATTTAAAAAAAAGAATTAATATTTAAAAAATGTGAAGTTTAAAAAATCTAATCTAATCTTATCTATTAATTCTTTAAACCTCTATTTAAATATTTAAAACTCTAAATCTTTTTATTTTTCTATTACTATATTAATTTAAAATTATTTTTTTGAATCTATTTTTTTTAAAAAAAAAAAACAGAAAGATAAAAAAGGAATACTAAAATTAATAATGACATAATATTTATATAGTTTTATTTACATTTTATTTACATTTTATATATATAAAAAAAATCACTTATTATTATTTTTTGTTTGGTTTTCTTCTGACATATCAATTAATGGTGAATACTGTAAAGATGTTGGTGGGTACATTGGTATTTGGTACCCATTATTATTGTCCTCATCTATATTATTAATACTTTGTTGTGGCTGTTGATTTGGTGGAGATGTTAATTGTGTTTGCTGTTGTTGTGGTTGTTGCTGTTGCTGCTGTTGCATTTGCTGCTGTCTAAATTGTTCAGGAGATATTGAACCTAATTGAACACCACCTGTATTTCTACTGAAATAGTTTTTAATTCTTGTAAAACTGCTATTTAATGATGGTGAAGACGATGAGCTACCAACACTACCACCACTGCTATTATTATAAAATGATGATGTAGAGCCATAGTTTAAATTTGTGATATAACCCTGTAATGATATTACCCTATTTAATTTTTCTGACGTTTCAATTTGAACATATTTTTCTGGTGATAAAAATAAGAAAGAAAGATTACCCTTTACAACTATAAAAATAAAATTAGTTTGGTGTTTAAAAATAAAGTATAATATAACAACAATCTTACATAATAAACCAACAAAAATTCCGCTTAAATGGCCTAAAAATGATGAGGATGGAAATATTAGATAAGTTATAAATAAAATTGCAAATGGGTATAACTTTGAAGGTATATTTGTAATGCCGTATAATGAAACCAATCTATCTTCAAAAAACTCTATTTCTAAAAGAGAGAAAACAATTCCAGAGAAACCAACACTGCAACTATAATAACCAAAACGTGTAATATTTGTATATAAACCAATAACCGATAAAACGGTTGTCATCAATGGTATTAAAATACTGAATAATACGATTAAATAAAAAAACTGTAGTGTTCCAAACTTTGATTTTTCCAATCTACTACCCAAGGGTATAAAAGCAAGCATATTAAATAAAATGTGTAAAATATTTATATGAAAATAATTTGATGTTATAATTGTATATGCTAAAATAAAAAATGTTAATAATGAGCATTAATTTGAAACTATAGATTAATAATTACCATTAGATAGAGGATGTGACAGTAAATAATATGGTGATAAACAAACCTGCCAAGCTTTGATTATATTAAAACACTCCAGTATAAATAAAGATACACATAGTAAAAAGAAAAACCTAGTTGTTAGAGCAATGGTGCTTAAATATTGATTAACCTTTGAACTAATCCTTGAAAAAAATCCATCACCATTATTCATTTCTAAACTATTATTATTATTATTATTACTACTACTATCCATAAATATATGTGTTTATTTATTCTATATTAAAATTACATTTACCCCTAATTTTTTTTTTTGATACAATTAAAAAAAAAATAAAAAAAAATAATAATTTTTAAAATAAAAAAAAATTAAAAAAAAACTAAATTAAAAATATTTAATAAAAAAATTAAGACAAAGATATATTATTTAAAAATTTTACAAATAGCAATTTATTTATTATTTATTTATTTATTTAAAATACTCTCATACCTGGTTCAGAACCATCATCGGTGGTAGTATATAAAACTTTTTTACCTTCTTCGTCAGATGCACATAAAACCATACCTTCGCTAACACCAAATTTCATAGTTCTCTTTTTTAAATTTGCACAATAGATAACATTCTTGCCGATTAATTGCTCTGGTGAATAGTATGCTTTAATACCGCTAAAAACAGTTCTAATATCTCTTTCTGGTTGTACTGGTGATTCTGTAACTTGTGATTCAACAGTTGGTTTTAATTCTTCAGTTGTGGTGGTGGTGTTGATATTTTCTTCTGGTGACTTTTGTTCTACTTGTGGTTGTGGCTTTACTTTTTTTAAACCTAAATCCAATGTTAATTTTAATAACTTGTTGGCTTTTTCTACATGTTGTGCATCAATAACTTTAGCAACACGCAAATCAACTTTAAAGAAATCTTCAATGTCAATTTCTTCTGGTGTGGTTGGTAATTCCATTTTATTGCTTTTCTTTTCAGTTGCAAAACTTCTGTTTATTTGATTGAATCCATTATATTTAAAAATTTGGTTACCAACGTTTTTATTTATTAATCTTTTAATCATTTTATTAATCTTTCGTCTTTCGTAAAATGAAAAATAAAAAAAAAATAAAAAATTTAAAAATTTAATTAAAAAAACAAAAAAAAATAAAAAGTAAAAAATAAAACTAATGTGGTTTTAAATATCTAAAATTACTATAATTACAAAAGATCTAAAATAAATAGAATGTAGAATGAGATTTTTTTTTAATTGATTTTAATTTTTTAATTTTTATTTTGTTTTTTATTAACTATAATATAGGCATTTAACAAATAAATAGAAAATTCATTTGTTTTTGAAATAAATATATAACATTTTTTTTTGATGATATTTTCTTTTTTTGATTTTTTTTTTGATGGTTTTTTTTTGATTGAGTTATATAGTTTAGTTTTTTTTTATTTTTTTTTATTTTGTTTATTTTTTTGGTTTGGTATTTAATTTTAAAATAAAAAAAAAATTATTTGTATGTTTATCTTGGAGCAATACCACCTCTTGGAGCCATACCGCCACGTGGTGCGATACCACCTCTTGGGGCCATACCACCACGGTTTGGTGGAGCCATACCACCACGAGTTGCTGTAGCACCGCCACGAGTTGCTGGTGCACCTCTACCTACTGGTGTTGATGTTGTGGAGGTTGAAGTTGGTGGTGGAGCACCTCTACCAATTGGTGCACGTGTAGCGCCACCAGCTGGTTGATTCTTTATTAATTGAAGGTAATTTGATGGTACTTTACCTCTACGTCCTCTTAATTCGGCATCCCACCAGTCACCTGAACTTTGGTCATTTACAGTTAAAATATCACCTTCTTTGAATGAAAGTTCCATTGATGATTCGGCTTGGAAATCATATAAAGCTTTAGCTGATGGTTTAACGGAACCACCTGGTTGTGGAGCAACTTTAGAATTCATAGCTGGTCTATAAATTGGAATTGATACTACTGGTAAAGATTCTGGTGGAGTGAGATTTGGTACGGTATCAGCTGGTAAACCATCGTTTGGAGCTATAACTTTAGTACCTTTAATTGATGATTCTGGTTTAATACCTTTTTCAAAAGTGATAACACGCTCTTTACCTTTACCACCTTGTTTGGATGCCTTAATAGCAACACCTATTGAATTGTTATAGTTTACACGAAGAGTACCAGTCTTGAAAGCTTTCATTAAAGTACCAAGGAATTCAGTTTTTCTACGGCATTCGAAAATTTGATCGTGTTCGTTCATTGTTTTAATAACCATAAAGCCATCTGAAAGTCTACTCATTTCAATTGAGGTAATACCAGCAAGTAAAAGACGTCTCTTTTGAACATAGATCCATGGACGCTTCTTTCTATCTTCTTTATCCTTATTCTTTTCGGTGGCAATAAAGTAAACTGCGACATCACTTAATAATAAAACACGACGTTGTGATCTTGATCTTCTATCATATTTGTTAACAGCATGAGTAAACATTATCTTTTCATTACCATTCTTTTTGACGATATCTTTTAACTCGAAATTTTCTCTATAATTGATATAATCACCTTGATATGGTCTTTCCAATGATAATCTTCTTCTTTCTTTATTTGATTTTAATGAATCTGCAGCACCTTTTTGAATTGAATAATAATAACTCATTAAGGTGAATCTTAAGAAAAATCTTTGTAATTTATTTGCATATGTAAATACTTTTCTTTCTCTTAACTCTTCTAAATTAAATACCTTTTTTTAAAAATAAAATAAATTAGTTTACAATTATTTTTTAAATGACAATATTTAATTATTTTTATAAAGACTTACAGTTTCTGGGGCTCTAACAAAAATTTTAGTTTTACCTTTGGAAAATTGTTTTGGATCTAAATCCATTGATTTAAGAATGGCCTCTACACCAGCTTCAAAGCCACCGCTCCAATTTGGCCAGGTTTCTTTGCAACATACACGATATCTGTAAAAGAATTTATCATAGGTTTGACGATAAGCATAACCAGCTCTACGAATTCTTACATTTTCTAAAAGACCCAAATATTTAACTTGATGCATAACTAATGATGTATCAAAATCATTAGCTCTTTTATTTGAATTTGGTTTAATACATCTTTTTTTTTAAAAAAATAAATATAAAATTAGTATAAATGGAATTTATAAAAAAGGGTAAAAAAAATTTAATAAATAGAAAGTTACCTAATATAATGTGGAGTACATGCAGATAATGCTTTAACCAAAGCACCAATTGATTCTTTAATTTTGAAACCAGCAGTAGTTGGTTTTTTCTTGTCTTTTTCGGAATTAATTTCTGGGAATAACAATGGAATTAATTTGCTACTGGTGCAGGCGGCTAATTCTACCAAATCATTAAATAATAAATCTTTATTTTTATCAACGAAACCATCTGCGGAATATTCGACCTATAATTTAAATAAAAAAAAACTTTTATTAATATTGTTGTTTATTAAAATAATAAAATGAATTATATTTTTTAAAAAAACTTACATCACCAGCATAATGTTTAATTGTAAATGAATTACCAGCTTGTGAAGCACATTGGAAATGAGCATGTGAATTGAAAGATTCTTTTAAACGATCTAAGAATTTTTGGTCATCACCCTTTGGGAAATTACAGACATCATCGAGGACAGTTAAAATACCGGCTGGTTTCTTTGATTCTATTAAGTCACAACAAATTTTATTGTTAAAGTAATCGATTTGCTCCCATTGAATACCCTCGTTGAAATATTCTTCTTGTTCAGTTTTTAATGTGAGTTCAATAAAGATTTGTTGAAGACGTTCGTTGACATAATTGATAACCATTTGTTCAAAGCCATTCTTTTCGAAAATTTCAAAACCATAGATATCTAAAATACCAATCATTAAGGAGTTGGAGCTATGCTTATAACCTAAAGCTTGATTAACTTTAGCGACGATCCAATCGAATAAACGACTGTATAAAGCTTTGGCAAGTGCATCTCTAGAGTAGTAAGCACCTTCAGAGTTTTGTGGACATGCATAAGTTGATACACGGGCACTTCTACCTTGAGTACCAGTTGAAATTGTACGGAAACAAAGTGCCTTTTCGCATGATGAAACATCGGTTTGCATTAAATATGCAAAGCTTTCTAATGCTTTTTTGCATGATTGATCGATTTGAGCTTCATCTTTAGCATTATTCTTAAATCCAATATTACCCAAATAAAGAATTGCTGCAACTAATCTGAAAACTTCTTTTTGCTCGGCATCTGTTACACCAATAACTTTCATGGCCTTTAATACATCTTGAAATTCTTGTGAATCATCAACACCATCTACACTATAACAACCACTAGCACTTAAATAATTAAATTTATCTGGACTTTCTAATCTTAATTCAGCTATTTAATAAAAAAATATAAAAAAAAAAAAGTTAATATATTAAAAAAAATAAAATATAAAAAAATTAAAAGTAAATACATACATTTTAATTGTTGATTTGCACCAGCTAATAATTGATAAAAAATATGAAAATTTCTTTCTCCTTTTGTTTGATATACAACACGAGATTTTTCTAAGAGATAATTAGTAACTCTACCACCTTCTGGATCACCTTTGCCATCGAATTGGACCTCCATATATTTACCAAAACGTGAACTATTATTATTACGTAAAGTTTTAGCATTACCAAAGGCTTCTAATAATGGATTTGATTCTAAAATTACATCCTTGACCCTTGTTACATCAGTACCTTTACCAGATACAGCTGCGATATATTGCATAATTAATTTGGCTGCTTCAGTTTTACCGGCACCAGATTCACCAGAAATAATAACACACTGTGATTGACCTTCCGCATACATATTTCTATACATATCATCAGCTACTGCATAAACGTGTGGTGGTAATTCATATCTAAACTTACCTCTATATTCTAATAAATTTCTTTCTGAATATAAATTTTTAATTTGTTTGAATGGATTAACTGAAATTAATACATTTCCAATATATGTCTAAAAATAAAATAAAAAATAAAAATAAAAATAAAAAGTTATTAATATAAAGGTTTTAATTATATTCAATCTTTGAAAAAACCAATACTTACATAAATAACATCGCCACCATATCTTTTCTTTAAATTGTCTAAAATTGTATCATTAGCAATTTTAGACAACATAACCATATCATCTACACCATGTTGACTTTTATATGCCATTTTTTTTTTCTTTTTTTTTTTTTGTTTTTTTCCCCAATTAATTAAAAAATCTTTATTTTATTTTTTTTGTAATTAATTTAAAAAATATAATGAGAATAAAATTACAAGTACAAATTAATTGAATAATTAATTTTGTGATGGTTATTATTATACAAATAAATAATAAATAAATAAATAAATAAATATATTATTAAGAATAAACGGTTATTATTTTTTTTTTTTTTTTTTTTATTATTACAATTTAAAAATAATTTTTTTAAACAATATTAATAAAATAAATTTAAAAAATAATAAAATAATATCTTATAATCAATGATGGATAATAATAAAAAATGGTAGATATGATTATTAAGGGTGTATTAAAAATTATATTTTTTTTTTTTTTTTTTTTTTTTTTTTTTTTAAAAATTTATTTTAATTTTTATTTTTTTAAAAAAAATTTTTTTAAATTTTTTTTATAATAAAACTAATGGCTTTGTGTGTATTCTTTGAAATAAAAAAAAAAAATAAAAAAAAAAAAAAAAAAAAAGAGATTTTTTTTTATAAAAAAATTTAATTATGCAATAACTTTTTATTTCATTCATTAAAAAAAAAGAATTGGAAATATAAAATTTAAATAGTAATAATCAGTTAATTTATCAATCAATACATTTTTATTCAATTATGTAAAAGTAAAAACTATATATAACTATAGTAATACACTATTGATAACTTCTGTATTGAGTATATTTAAAGAAAATAGATAAAATTAATTTTTCGTTAATTTATTTTTATTTCATTTTATGATAATAGGTTTAATGAAAATTTGGTGCAACCATATAATCTTTTTATTTGAAAAAATTGACAGTTGACCCCTTTTTTTTTTTAAAAATTTTTTTTTTCAAAATCAAAATTAAATCCAAGTTTGATTTTTTATTTTTTTTTTTTCTTTTTGCAAAAGCCAATTGGAACAAAACATTTCAAAAAGGATTTTTTTTTTTTTGCCATTTTAAAAATCAATTAATAATAAAAACAATTTTAATATTTATTTTTAAGATATGTGTTATTTAGATTTATAAGGAATATTATTAAAAAAGAATATTTACTTTTTTTAGGAATACTAGTATGTTCCTTGTGTCTAAATATTCAGCTTAAATATTTGAGATGACATCACCCCCAACTCTGGTAAAATAAAAAAAAAAGGAAAGAAAATATCCTTTTTTTTTTTTTTTTTTTTTTTTTTTTTTTATTGATTTTTTTTAATTATAATTTTTTTAAAAAATTTAAAATTTTTTTTTTTGATTTTTATTATTTTATTTTGTTTTATTTAATAAACAGAATTTATATTGTTTATATTATTTTATTTTTTTTATAAAAAAATAAAATAAATATCTAATAATGAGCACTGTAAGAGAGAGATTTGCAGAGGTACAACAAGCACTCGATGAGGTGCACAGTTTGGTGGATAGTAATACACCATCCGATTTAAATAAAGCAGCAACTATTTGTATGTATAAATAAAATAATAAAATCAATTAAAGTTTTTATTAATAAAATAAAATTTAAACAAATAAACTCCAATAGTAAAATCATTGTTACCAATTTATAAAGATTTAACTAATAATGAAGAAAGTAAAAGACCAGAAAATTTAGAAATTTTAAAAGAAATTAAATCTAGATTGACAGAGGAGACCCAAAGGGTTATGGGTAAAAAAGAGGAGGCAAAAAATCTACAATTACAGCAACAACAGCAACAGGAGCAGCAATTACGTCAACAACAGCAACAACAAATTTTAGAGAGTACAAATAGAAGCAGAGCATTCACATCGCCAGAATTACCAAAGCCATCACTTCTTCAAGGTTATTTAAAGAAACAGGGTGAAAAAGGTATAGTCAGAGCATTCAAAAAGAGATGGTTTCAACAACGTGAATCAAAATTATATTATTTCGAAAAAGAAGGTGACAAAGAATCATTTGGCTTCATTAATTTACCAGATATGATTGGTGTTAAAACTGTAGATAGTGGTTTCGAATTAGCAACACCAACTCGTGTTTATATATTTCAGGTTTTAAAACCATCCGATTTAAATTACTGGACTGAGGGTTTAAAAGATTATAAAAAGTATTATCAATCATTACAAAATAGTCAAAAGTTTGGAAATGATTCACCAGGTTTATCATCCTCAAATTCATATTCAGATTTCCGTAAATCATTTTCTGATGCAAATGGAGGAAGTACCAGTAATACACCAATTATCGATCGTAGAGGTACTGTTTCTGGTGCAATGTTAAGTAGCACTTATTCACATTCAGGTTCAATCGCTCCAGATTCACCAAACTTTATTTCAAGTAGTTTTAATCCAGCCGATGAAGAATTAAGAAAACGTGAATCTGAAATTTTAAGAAGACATCAAGAAAAACAGCAACAACAAGAGGATCAATTATCTCAATCATATACACCACCACAACCACAACAACTTCAACAACAACCTTCACCACAAACACCAAGTTTATCTAGATCACAATCACAAAATCAATTACGAGAGAGTAACGATACTTTGGTAAATAACAGTAATAATATAAATGGTGTTTCACCAGTACTATCAAGTCAACCATCACCTTCCCAATCACCATATAATAGTAGACATAGCAGTTACAATTATTCGACTACCTCATTCATTCAAGATAATTATCAACCACCTCAACAACAAATGTACAATAATAGTAATACATCACCAAAATTGGAAGCATCATCATCATATAGCAATGAAAATCATAATTCATATGGTAAATTAAATTTAGAATCAATGAAGAACTCAATCGAAGAAGAGTTAAAAAAGAAATTTATACAAGAAAAACAAGAAATTTTAGAGAATGAATCAAAAAAAAGACAAGAGCTCGAAAATGAAATTAAAAGAACTAAAGATTTATTAGAAAAATCCCAATTGGAAGCTCATCAAAAATCTGTAGCATTAAATATCGACATTAAAAATAAGATTTCAGAAATCGAGGAGTTAAAAGCACAAGTCAATGTATTTACTGAAAAGAATGAAACACTTCAAGAAAAAGTTAGAGAGCTTGAATCAATTAAACCAATCGAAACCTTCCCACACGAATTCCTTTGGACTGAAGAGGTAACCTCCCGTGATCAAAAAATTTTAGGCCAACAACACCGTATACGTGAACTTGAAGAATCAATAAAGCTTAAAGATAATGCAGTCAATGTTATAAAGAGAGAGAACGAATTGCTTAGACACGAAACTGAGAAAAAAGATAAATATATTAACGAACTTTTAGAGAACAGTAAAGGTGGTAGATCGCTTACTTCAAGTGGTAGCAACAGTAACACTCAAAATGATATTACAAAGATAAGAGAGTCATTAACAGCACATCAAACACAAAATAGTTTCCTTTTACAAGAAATTAATCGTTTGGAGACTCAAAGTCAATTCAAATTGGATCTTAAATTACAACAAATCGACGAGCTTCAAAAACAAATGGAAGAGCAACTTTATCAATTCCATCGTTTCCGTGAAGCAATCATTGGTACTGTATCAAACGAATACTGTGGAAAACTAGAAAAAGAAAATTTAGATCTCAAAAAAGAATATTTCCAAGTTTTAGGTGTTTCAATCAAATTACACAGATTAAGGGAGGGCGATGCTGTCAATATCGACATCAACTCATTATTTGAAAGAATTATAAAAGAAAATATTCATTACCGTAATTTCCCAGAGTGGTTAAATTTACAATTAAAATAAATAATATATAAATATAAGTAATAAAAAAAAAAAAAAAAAAAGTATTTAAACTATAAAAAAAGTATTATTAAAACTATACCATAATTAAATAAAAAATTAAATTAATTTAAATTTAATTTCCCCCATAATTTCTTAATTTTTTTAAAAGTTATAATTATATTTTTTATTTTTTATTTTTTAACAATGGGTTAAAAATTAATATCTATTATTTCATTTTGTTTAAATAAAAATTGTTCTATTTTTTCGCAAACCTCTTTCCTATTTGATAAAACTAATGTATTGGTTTCTTTTGGTAATGTGGACACCAAAAGATCATTTTTGTAGTTTTCTTTTACTTGTTTGATGTTTTTTAAAGACATATAGTTTATGAAAACAATTGATAACCAATTTAAACTAATCTTTTTGATTTCATTTTTTAAACAATTGTCTAATATATCTAAATCATAGTTTATTAAATAATTAAATTCGAATTTAAAATCTGTTGATTCTTTTTCGTTTTTTCCTTTATATTGAAAATTATCACTAGAGGTTTCACTTTTACTGTTAAGTTGATTAGACCAAAAAAGTTGGTTTAATTTTAATTTTAATTTAATTTTTAATGCTATTTTAATTAAAAATATTAAAGAGTTTAAAAATAAATCGTAGTGGTCGGTGTGGGGGATTGATAAAAAAGTGTCCATAAAATTTAATGTTTTTAAATTGATCTCTTTAAATAGCTGGTTAAATTTTTTTTGGTAGTCTTTGATCTGGGTTTCGATTTTAAAACTATCTATATTGTTTTTGTAAATAAGTTCCTTTCTTTTTTTATTTATTATTGATTCATATTCCAAAAGCATACAATAGTCTTCATTATCTCCTCTGAGATTTGATTTTAATATTTCTAAATATAACTTTTTATTTTTGTCATTTAAAATCACTGCTATTTCATCACTTGATATTTTAAATAAATTATTGGCAAATTCTAGTAACCTATTAGATTCATTAATTAGTTCATTGAAGAAATGGGAAGCCCCCCTGGTAAAGGGGGGTTTAAAAAAAAGAAATTTTTCCTTTTTTTTTTTTTTTTTTTTTTTTTTTTTTTTTTTTTACCAGGGTGTAAAATTATTTGTTTATAGCTTTTATAAGAAAATGATCATGATTAATAGTTTTGTTTTTTGGTTTAAAGCTTAAATTAAAAATAGTTTTCAATAAAAATTCAAATAATTATTTCTATATTTTAACTTTTTTGGTACAAAATAAATAAATTCTATGTTTCATTTTTTCAAATTGTACAGACTTCGTTTCAAATAGGTAAGTTTTAATGTGTATTTCCTTTAAAAAAATAGTTAAGAAAAAAAATCTTAATTATTTAGGGGGTGTGTGGTTAAATTATAATAATAAAAATTAAAATAATATTTTTTTATTGTAATTTGTGTGTGGGGTTATTGGTTTTCAATGGAATATTTGATATTAAATTTTATTCTTTAATGGCTGGTTTTTTTGTGCACTTTGGTAAAAACCTTGTTGGTTGGTTTTTTTATTTATAGTTTTTTTTTTTAATTTTTTTTATTTTTTTTTTTTTTTAACAATTAAATTAAAATAATATTTAAATTAAAAAAAACAATCTTTCATTTTTCATTATACACAATATATAATTAACTAAATCATAGTTGTCGATATAAAAATTAATATTTTTATTTTATTTTAAATTAATAAAAAAAAAAAATATTTAAAATTTAAAATTTTTTTTTTCAATAGATATTAATAAATAATAATTATTAGTAAATAATAAATAGCAATTATTAGTAAATAATAAATAATAAATAACAAATAATAAATAATAAATAATATATACTATATAATAAATAAACCTATATTAAATCTAAATAATTATCGAAAAAAAAAAATATAGTATCTATAGATAACAAAATGTCATTTTTATTAAATTATAATTTAAATAATAAAAGTAGTAAAATATATTGCAATTCCTTAAAAACTCAAAAACCAAGTAGACCCCCAAAAGCCAGTAAATTTGATGATACATTCCCAATGGAAGTAAAGCCTATATCCGTTTTAGAATATGAATTAGAAAGAAAGAAGATATTAAACTCAAATAATTATTTATTCCAGAAGAAATCAAGAAAAGAAAAAAAGGAAGATCATGTTTTAATTTTTAATTTTGATGATATGTAAAACTAGCATTAAATATGTATAAATATAATTTTAATTTTGTAAATAAATCTTAAATAAATAAATATTATTATTAATAAAATAATAATATATTACTAAAAAATATTGCTCTACTTTTTAAAATTAATTTGTTTCTATTAAAAATAATATATAATATGAAAAATAAAGAATGGTTTTGTTTATGCTGGAATTAGAGATTTATTTTAATTTTAATTATTGTTAATTTTTAACAACCCCAGTGTTTTTTATGTGAGTTTTGATGGTGTTTTTTTGAGTTTTTCCAATTGCTCCATCCATGTTCTCCCCACAAAGCAACTTCATTATCTCCAAAGGATTTTGATTCAAAGTTTGAAGTCATGGTTGTTTTCATTGATGAGCCAGTGCTTGAAAGAGAAATAATTGAATCTATAAAAAAAAATTAGTATAAACAAATTATAGTTTATATTATAAATTTATATTAAATACTTACTAAAGATCATTTTAAATATATGTTTTTTTGTTTTTTAAATGTAAAATAAATAAAACTATTTATACTTTTTTTTTTTCCTTTTTTTTTTAAAAATTTAAAAAAAGATTATCTGATGGGGGTAATTATATTTTTAAAGACTTTAAAATAAATTTAATTGCCATATAAAATAAGGGGAACAATTATAAATAAAACTTTTTCAGATATTCAAATAAGTAAATAATAAAAAAAAAATACCTTACTTTTTTTAATTTTTAATTTTTAATTTTTTTTATTTTTTTATTTTTTTAATTTTTTTTTATTTTATATTTTATAATGATTGTGCAATAAATTTAGATTTATAATGATAAATTTATTAAAAAATAGTAAAAATAATAATCAAAAGTACTGGAAGAAATTATTGTTTACAGATTTACATGTTTCATCAAAATCATTAGATAGAACATTAAATGTATTAAAAAAAGTTAGAGAATTAAGTTGCACCGAGCTTTTAGATAACAAACCCACACCAGTTGTATTTTTGGGTGATTTTTGGCACCAAAGAGATGTGCTACACGTTAGACATATAGATCATTTATTAAAAGAATTTGAAAGTTGGAAGCAATCAGATATAGAAACTATTTTAATTCCGGGTAATCACGATCAGGTTTCTATTGATGGTACTGTACATGGTATTCAACTATTCTCATTATTTCCAAACTTCACCGTTGCAACTGATCCTATCATTGATAAAGAAAATGGTTTAGCATATTTACCATGGAGAGAAACTAAAGAGGACCAAACCATGCTATTTCACAATCTATCAAAGCAATTACCCAATCCAGAATCCTCAATACATTCGAAATGGACTGTTTTTGCACATGCCGAGGCTAAAGGTGCAGTTGCCAATGGTGGGTATAGATCAACAGGTAAGTTTGATTTAGATGGTGATACATCATTTATTAGATCATGCTATTTGGGTCACTATCATAAACGTCAGCAAATTTCAAAAAATTATTGGTATATTGGAAGTCCATACGAACAAAACTATGGTGAAATGAACGAACCACACGGTGTTGCATTTGTGGACTCTAATAGAATTCAACCTTATTTTGTAGATTTCGACGATTTACCAAAACATCACAAATTAATTTTCCCATTCGATACCAGTAAACTCAATTTAATTAAATCAAATGACTTTGTAGAGATTAAAGCAACAAAAGAAATGATGAGATCAAAAGAATTTGTTGAAACTATAGATATGTTACCAAAATCAATTGATCTAAGAAGGGTTCTAATTAATGATACACAATTTTGTATCAATCAAAATGAAACCGTTCAAGGAAATAATGAGGCTATAAAAGAAACAACTCAGAAAGATGAAACCACCAAAAATAAATTTAAACTAGATGATTTTTTAGAAACCTATATTAAAAAGAATGAAGGTAATGGATTGGATAAAAATGAACTATTGTATTTGGGTAAAAACATTTTGTCATCAGTCAAAGAACCAACCATTGTACCATTGGGAAGAAAAGTTCAGATTCAAAATATCAAAGTAAATAACTTTTGTGGTATCTCAAATGAATTGGAGCTGAATTTAAAAGATGAAGAAATGTTAAATAAAATGATTTTAATTCGTGGCCAAATGGGCACTGGTAAATCAACAATTTTTGAAGCTTTGGTTTGGTGCTTATATGGAAATACTTCACCAAAAAAACAATCAACATCAAGCTCCAGTATTAAGGGTGATGAAGTTATTAATGACAGCTCCAATAGTACTAGTGTTACTGTCGAGGTATTGGTAGATTCAAAACTATATCAAATTAAAAGAACAAAAAAGAGGGGCAGCGGCGCTAAAATTTCAATTAATGGTTTAGAGGATCAACAAATTAAACAAGGAGTTATGGATCAACAAAACTTAATAAACAATATTATCGGTTTGGACTATGAAAGCTTTAGAATGAGTATTTATCTAGGTCAAGGCTCCATTTCAAATTTTGTTACAGATTCCGATAAAAGAAAGAAAGAGTTACTCTCACGTATTTTTTCATTAGGTCTTTGTATACCTGCAAATAAAATAGCTAAAGAACTTCGTAAGAAAAAAGAAATAGAAATTAATGAACTTCAAAAGAGTTTATATTCATTCGAATCATCACTAAAAACATGGAGATCAATAGATTATTTAAAACAATCAAATGAGTGGGAAGAAAGTAAAATTTCAAACATCAACAATTTAATAAATGAAATTAAAATCGAAAAAGAAAAATTAGAAAAATTATCAAATAATCAAATCAGTTATAATAGTAATAATAACGAACAACCTATTAAGATGGATTTATTAAAAAACAGCAAAGAAATTAAAGAATTCCTAAACTCGCTCGAATTTAAAAAAGAACAATTCTTTAAAGAGTTTAATGAATCCTCCAATAAAACCAATAAGAAACTAAACGAAAATAAGTTTAAGCTTAGCCAATTAGAGGTCAATATTAAACAAAACAATGCAGAATTGAAATACTGGTTAGATTATATCGATAAACAAAAATGCAACCAATGTGGTCAAAATATTCCAGATGATTTATTAGAATCAAATAGAAAAGATGCAGATACTAAAATTTTAAAATTCAAAGAGTCCATAGAAAAACAACAGCATCAAATTTTTGACATTGAACATGAAAACGACGAACTTGTAGATAAACTCAAAGAAATTGAAAAGGAATTCGAAATAAATAAAAAACTAAATCAGCTTGAAATACAAACAAATCAAATCACCTTACAAGAAATTACTAAACAATTGGAAGAGTTATCAAAAAATGAAATAAATATAAACTTTTTAAAGCAATCCATTAGCGATAAGGAATCTAGATTAAGCCAATTAGAAAATAACAAAGATCCCTTTAAAGAGAAGGTTGATGAAAAGGAATTAAATATCAATAGTTTAACAACTGAAGTTCAAAGTCTTAATGATAAACTAAAAGAAGCAGAAATCAAATTTAAAGAATTAGAATTTTGGGAGGATGGTTTCAATTCAAATGGTTTACCCATGCTGGCATTGCAAAGTGTTGTAAAAGAGGTTGAAAGTTACGCAAACGAATATCTTTCAAAGCTTTCTAAAGGCCAACTATTTACTTCTCTTTCTATTCAAGATGACGAACTATCGATTGACATATTCGAACTGGATCCAGAAACCAAATTAGCAAAACCTCGTTCATTTAACCAGTTATCAGGTGGCCAAAGACGTTGTTTAGAGCTTTCATACAGTCCATTTGCTCTTAGTGAAGTTATTTATAATCATTCAGGTTCAAGAGTAACATTTATGGCAATTGATGAATTAACAAATCATTTAGACTCCTCTGTAAAGCCAATCATTTGCGATCTTATGAGAAATCTTCAAGAAAAAGATTCAATCTTTGTCATCGATCACGATGTTAGTGTACAAAGCGAATTCGATCATGTATTTAATTTAACAAAAGAAAATAACAAATTAAAATTAAATTTATTATAAATAAAAAATATAATAAATTTATTTAGTTTTATAAATAATAAATATAGTTTTTTTTTTATTTTGGGATTAAAAAAAATCTAATTATCTTTTTTTTATTTTTTTATTTTTTTTTATTAATATTATTATTTAAATAAAAAATAATTATAAATGCGTATAATTATTTAAAAGAAAAGGTTGTTAACATTTGAAGAGTTGTTTGGATTATTTGCTGCAATTGGTTGAATGTTGTTTGATGGCATTGGTGATGATTGTTTTGATGGTGAAGTAAACATTAATGAATCTAATGAAGAAAATTGAGATGGTTGTGGTGGAGTTGGAGTGGCTGAGGTTGGAGTAGAGCTACCAAATGAGGTTGGTGCCATGGCGTTCATTCCAAAGCCCATTCCGCCCATTGGAGACATAGCATTCATACCCATATTCATTCCGCCCATTGGGGACATACCGTTCATACCCATATTCATTCCACCCATTGGTTTGTTCATATTGTTGTTCATATTCATTCCCATTCCCATTCCCATACCATTGTTCATTCCCATGCCATTGTTCATGCCCATTCCATTGTTCATGCCCATACCGTTGTTCATGCCCATACCATTGTTCATGCTCATACCGTTGTTCATACCCATACCATTGTTCATACCCATACCGTTGTTCATTTGCATTCCATTGTTCATTGGTGAAACTCCCATATTCATATTTATTCCCATTCCATTACTCATACCCATTCCATTGTTCATACCCATACCATTGTTCATGCCCATTCCATTGTTCATTGGCATTCCGTTGTTCATGCCCATTCCATTGCCCATTGGCATTCCATTGTTCATTGGTGACATACCCATTCCTCTGTTCATATTGTTACCATTCATACCACCATTCATCATATTGTTGTTCATATTATTGTTCATCATGCCACCATTCATATTATTATTGGCATTATTGTTATTATTACTATTATTGCTTGAAGAGAATGGATCGAATGTGCTGTGTGGTTGATTTTGTGGATTTGAAACAATTTTGAAATCATCATCGATTAATGATTTTTTATTTGAGGCGCCATTCCAGTCGTCAATTAATGAAATATTACTTTTTGTTGGAACTGGGGTTGGTGGTTTAACATTCATATTATTATTACTATTATTAAAATTGTTGCTATTATTAAAGTTGTTGGTATTGTTGTTGCTGATATTTTTGTTAAAGTTATTGTTGTTGCTATTGTTGCTATTGAAACCATTGTTACCCATTTCGGTGGCAAAGCTATTTGCTAATGATGGTCTAGTTGATGATTGGTTACTTCCATGGCCAACTGTGTTATATTTTTGTGGTGGTTGATTATTATTATTATTGCTGCTATTGTTGCTATAGTTATTATTGTTTCCTCTATTATCATTAAAGTTATTATTGTTATATGAACTGTATGAACGAAGTTCTGTATTAGTTGAAGCAAAACCACCACCTGGTCCTTCACGTCTAACTGGTTGATTTACACGTGAGTCTTTTCTCATAAACTCTTTTCTTTCATATTTACCTCTAATAAATTGTTCTAAAGTACTAAAAATTGAAATTAATATTAATATTTTTTTGTTTTCTTTTCTTTGTTTTTTTTTAACTACTTACTGAGTATCAGTATTATGATCTGGCTTTCTGAAATGAGCTGGCATAAACTCTTCATAAATTTGGTTAGCTTTACGGTTACCCATGTTTTGCATTTGTTCTAATAAATCGAAATTCCATTTATCCAAGGTTACACTTCTAACTTTTGAAATATGGACACCTAATGAACGATGAATACCTGAGCATCTCATACAAATAAAGATACCTAAATTTGTTGAACACCATCTTGGATCTATGTAAATAAACAAACAAATATGTGTTAGTGATTTTACAATTTATTAAATAAATCTTTATAATTCTATACCTACTTTTAGCACCACAATCAACACAATATCTATTTTCTTCTAATTTTAATAACTCTTCTAATTTTTGAATGCATTGTTGTGTTACCTTTTCTTCGCTGTTTCTGTTATTCATTTTGAGAATGTATATAAAGTTGAAAAAAAAAAAAAAATTTTAATTAAAGATAATAATATTATTAATTTATAAAAAAGTTTTATTAAAAAATTAAATAAAAAGATTTTTTTACTATGATGTTACAATATATAAATAATAAATTTAAAGAATAAAAAATATATTTTATTTTTGTATAAAAAAACCAAACAAAAAGTTTTCACCCACAAAATAATAAATATATAATATAGAAAAAAACAAAAAATAAAAAAATAAAAAAAATTTAAAAAAAATAAATAAAAATTTAAAAATTAAAAAAAATAAAATAAAAAAAAAAAAAAAAAAAATTAAATTAGAAAAAATAAAAAATAAAAAAAAAATATTTTTTTTAGGCAGTTATATAAACTAACGAAGCATGATAAAAGGCAATGAAAAAATGACCTTTTTTTTTTGACACTCTTGACCATTTTAAAATTTCTTTAGATTTAAATTATACTATAGGTTTTAAAATTTTTAATAATTTAAAAAAAAAATAATTAAAAAAAAAAAAAAAATGATATAATAAATATAACCCAACATCAATCTTCTGGAATGACCACTTTGGTAGATTCAAAATTAAAAAATAGTATGTATATTTGTTTTAGTTTATTGTTATTATTATATATAGGTGCCTATACACCAAATAGAAATACTAATTAAATTATTTAATTTAAATCTCTAATAGTTTCAAAAAATCAATTTTAAACATTAAAGAATAGTAAAGTAAAGAAAGCAGGTGATGAAGATGAATATGGTCAAGATGGTGAAGAATGGGATATTTTAAAAGACGACTATTTAATTAAAAATGAATGGGATGGTGAGGAGAAAGATTAATATTAAATAAAATACAAATAAAAATATAATAGACTTGAATTTTTTTTTACTATATCTTTTATTAATATATAAGTATATTTATATTTTTGGATATCGGATTTTGTTTTTATATTTTTTATTATTTAAATTTTTTTCTAAATTTATAATTTCTTTAATAAATTTTCTAAAAGAGTTAATACCTCTTTTGCAGAAGGTCGTTCACTAGGGTTCTTTTTAACCATATTTTTAATTAGCGATTTTTCATCTTCTGAAAATGATCTTGGTAGAGTTTCTTTCCTAAAATAAACTATAGTTAGTATAATTTAAATATATATATAGATTTGATAATAATATTTACATAAGTAAATTATCAATTGATGTTTTTCTTTCGGATTGTGTTAAAAAATGACCACATAGTAATTCAAATAATATTATACCACAGCTATAGATATCCACTTTTTCCGTATATTCCGTTAATAACCATTCCTCTTCTTGCTCGGGTGATGCATATATCTTAGTGCCAATTTGGGTAGTGTGGGGAAATGAGACTCTTGAACCTGGTAAGGTTTTATAATTACTTAGGTGATTTATGGGTTTAGCTAAACCAAAATCACCAATTTTAATGATATCTTGATTGAGGAAAATATTTGATGGTTTAAGATCTCGATGCATCAAACCCTCAGAATGCAAATAATCTACACCTTCTATAATTTGATATGAAATTAAAAGAACTTCTCTTTTACTCTTTAGATTAAATTCTGGATTTTCCATTAAATCATTTAAGGTACCTTGGCAATATTCAGTTTGAATAAACATTGAACAATTTATTATGATATCGTTGTTATTATTCTCTTTTGGATTAATGGTTTGGTTATTATTATTATTCTCTTTTGAATTAAAAGTTGGGTTATAATTTGAACTTTTTGAATATCTGTTTTCATTTGAAGAAGAAACATTATAAATATCAGTACTTTCTTTATTTATACCCATGCTACCTTCTTCAGAACCAAATTGGTTCGAATCACCAGTTGGGATTGAGGGAGAAGAATCCGAAACATTAGTGTTTTCTTTGTCTATTTCATAAACATCAGTACTTTCTTTATTTGTACCCATGCTACCTTCTTCAGAACCAAATTGTGTCGAATTGCCAATTGATGTATCTAATTCACACCAAGCAGAGTACTGTTTTAAAATATTTTTATGATTTAATTTTTCTAATACTCTAACTTCTCTATAAACTTCTCTTTCATCGTAAAAGATTTCTAAAGGTTCAGAAGAGGATACTCTGAAATTAACTATTTTAATAGCATATTCTTTAGAATCCCTTAACGTTTTTGCTAGAAATACCGACCCATATCCACCTTGGCCTAGTTTTTGTAATTGACGAAATTCACTTTGATACTTTTGAAAGCATGCTAGTGGCAGTGTTGGAAGAAAAATAAAATTAAAAAGACCTATATTATAAATATAATCTCCATTTATGGGATCAAGCTTATAAATATGTTAGTATAAATAACATTTTTGTAAAATTTTAATAATAGGTGTACATACATATGGAGTACAAAATAAAGATCCATAGTGAGTTGAAAAAATCTTTTTATTTTGTTGTGATTCTAAAATAGATAATGGAGTTGAATCGAGCACAGCACGTACTTTGTCCATAGGTGGTCCTATAGTACCATCCCCTTTCTTTAAATATTCCTCTTTTACTGCTTTAATATAGTCCTCGATAAGATTTTTTTTTATTTCCCTTGATTCTTCATTATCTTCGAAGAGGGGTGATAAAATATAATTTGAAGACATAACTAAAAAAACAAAAACAAAATAATAAAAGGAATTTATTAGATATTTTACAAAACTGGATAAAAAACAAATAAATAATAAAATATAAAATTTAAAAAAAAAATAGAAAAAATGAAAATGGTCTATTAAAATTTAAAAAAAAATATTTTAGTGATTTATTTCAAATTTAAAAAAAAAAAATTATTTATTAAATAAAAATATTATAAAATTATTTAATTAAATAATTTTTTTTTAAATTTCTCAAAAAAAAATAAAATTAATTTTTTAAAAAATATAATAAAATTTATTTTATTTTATTATTTATTATATATTTAATATTTATTTATAAGTTAGAAATACTTAAATATATTTATTTGGGGTTAAACAATAATTTTTATTTAGAATCTATTTTTAATGAAAAAAAAAAAAGATAATTTATCTATTTTTTTTTTTTTTTTTTTTAATTATTTTTTTGATCAAAATTATTGATGATAAAGTCAATAAATTCAAACCATTTATTTTCCCAGGCTTGATATAAAGTATTATATTCGTTTTGATCAAAGAGTGATGATTGTTGAATCGAGTTAATACATAATTGTTTTAATTGTTTTAAGTCCAAACCCCATCCATAAGTAACTTCGAAAAAGTCATAACTTAAACCGTAGTAATTGTAAATGGCTGGATCATCTGGAGAGATGGTTAATGGAAAACCTTGTTCTAAAAGATCAAAAGCTGGATGAGTTCTCATATCTGATACAAATCCTAAAACTTGATTTGAAATTGGACAAACTTCGATACCAATATTATCTTTTAATACAGCTTCCATAAGGAGTGGATGTTTTGTGAGTTGTAAACCATGACCAATTCTCTTTGTTTTTAATAAAACTGCATCATAAAGGTTTGTGTTGTTATAAAGAATGGTTTCACCAGCATGGAAATAATAGTTTAGGGGATATTTTCTCTTTAAACTTTCTTCATTGATTTCGGCAAATTGATCGATAAAGTATAAAAGACTGTAACCGTTGTCCTCTGGACCAACTAAATCATATCCAACAAAAAAGTCTGGGTATTTGTTAACCATATCTAAAGCAAAATACATATGATCTAAAATTAATGATTGGTTTGAAGTATGACGTGGGTCACATCCTACAATCTAATCATAATAGAAAATAAAAAATTAGTATAAAAAAATTATTTAAAAGTTTGCCGTTTTTAAAAACAAATAAATAAATATTTAATATAAATTACCTTTAAACCGAATTCTGGCATATTATTTTTTGTTTTAAATTCTGCTAAAAGTTGTTGAGTTACATTTAAGAACCATACATCATCATAGGTATTACCTTGAAGATCATAGAAGTTTGTGCCAAGGGTTTTACGTAGCTCGATGTGTTGAATATTATCTTGAACAGTTTGTTGGAAAAGATGTGTCATATAGCCTACTGTAATTGGGATATAATTGACCAACCCAGATACTCTTGCAAATATTCCATCAAATTTGTCCCAGAGTTGTTCATAACTGCCATAGTCTTCGTTGATTAAAGTGAGTGAGGTGTAAAGTGTTTGGTCAAATGAAGAAACATTATTTGACTTAGCTCTTAAGTCAGAGAGTAAGTTCCAACGAGGATCGGTTGGTGTATTTTTAAAGAAATAGAATGTACCATTTTGGCTTAGGATACTAGGGTCGTTATCATTTTCCTTTACAATATAAATATAGCAATTTGGTAAATAGGTTCCATTGTAAACTAAATAGTCGTAAGTGGCAGAGGAATCTTGATGTATGTGAAGAGCTGATCCCTTTGGCATTTTTTGTATAATTTTAAATATAACTGAGTTATTATCAATAAACTCTTTTTCCTAAAAAGATTATTAGTTTTTGTTGGGTTTATAATGTAGTTTTTTCCTATGGTTTTTAATGACTTACTGCAAAAAAGTTAACAGCTGCTGGATCAACATTTGAATATTTTAGCTGTTCTTCTTGGAGAATACTTGAAAAAATACCATTTGCTTGATTCTCCTTTTGGTTAAAATTTGTATAGTATCCCACTTTTAATTTATCTTCTGCTCCAACCAATTGACCTCTTTGTGCATTGTATTGAACAATGAATGGGTTGTTGCTTGGCTCGAATGAACTATCGTCATTGGTACTGCTTGATGATACTTTATTATTATATTTATTATTATATTTATTATTATTATAGTTTTTAATATTATTTATTCTTACATTTTCTGATTTCACAAAGCTAATTGTTAAAATTAATAGAATTAATGATAAAATTATTTTCATTTTTTTTACATACAACACTGTTTATTTTATAAATTATTATTTTTACAAATAAAACAAAACAGAATGGCTATAAATAAATAAAAAAATAAAAAAAAAAAAATGGTTTTTATTTTGATATTTTAATTAAAATAAATAAAAAAAAAGATCAGATTATAAAAATTAAAGAAAAAGAAAAAGAGGAAAAAATATCCAAACAAAATGTGGTGATTAAATAAAAATAAAATAAAAAGATAAAAGAGAAAAATAAACACACAACAAAAAAGAAAAAGAAATATGAAAAGAATAAAAAATAAAATTAAAAACAAATAAATTATATATAATATATATACAAATACAAATATGTGGGTAACTGCGTGTTTGTGGTTATATACAAATAATTATGATAATTTTTTTTTAATATGAAAAATATTTTAAAAAAATTACAAAAAAAAAAAAATTTTATTTTTATTTTAAAAAAAATTAAAATAAAATTATGATTTTTATCACAATTGTGAGTCAAGTTTGGCAAAAAATCTATTTTGATTTTTCTATGGAAGATGAAATTTGAAGAAAGAATGTATTATTGTAAAATTACAAAAATATTTAAAATTAAGGTGGTCATATTACTATTTTTAATTATTATAATAAAAATGGTATTTTAATAATTAAAATAGTATTAAGACATTTTTTAAATAAAAATAAAAAAATTAAAATAATAATAATGAAATGAAGCAAAATGAAATTTAAGATCAATAAAATTAGATAAATAAAGTTATTATAATTTATTTTTGAAGATAAATAATTTTTTTTTTTTTTTTTTTTTTTTGAATTTTTTTTTTTCGATTTTTTTGAATTTTTTTTTTTTATTCAGCAAACACCTTTCTTGTGCCAGGAATTGAATGATTTGTAATTAAAGATTCATCACCATTTGTGCCAAGTAATTCATGTGGAGGTATAAATTTGTGCTTTCCTTTTCCTTTTGAATCTTTTCTTGGAGCATTTAAACCATTGTCATCATTTGGTGAACTTGAAAAACCATTACTATTGTCATTTTTATCATTTACATTAAAGCCTATAATTGCTTTATTTTTATTATTATTTGAGCTACTATTACTATTATTAACACTTTGCTTGTTTATATTTATTTTTGAAATTTCGATTGTATTATTGTTATTAAATTGACTACTTAAAGTATTTATACCATTAATACCACCAGCTTTACCATTATCATTATTATCTGTATTGTTTATATTTTTATTGTTTGTTAAATCTGTATCTACAAAAGTATTTAAATTGTTTTTAAATTGATTACTACTAAGATAGGAGTTTGCAACTGTATTTCGAAAACTAGTTGATGTTTTATTGTTATTATTACTATTACTATTATTATCATATGAACTACCCTCAGTATCTTCATCTTCCTTATCTGAAATATCAGAGTCTGAATCCAAATCGCCTCTGCCCATTGATAACGCTATTGGAATAGGTATTGGTGCTGATGCTGATATATTGTTATCTTTAGCTGGTGGTGCTTGTTGAATACTTATATTTAATGATCTGAGGTAACGCATCTTTAATGAGGTATATGAGTCATCTTCTTTTTGGTGATTAGTCATTGATGATGATGGTGCGACTGTACCCGATGTAATTGCTGTTGATGACGAATTATTGCCAACGCCATTATATGGATTATTACTGATACCTGTTCTTAAATCAGATGGGACATGATATTCTCTAGCTCCATGGACTGTTGCTCCTCTTCTTCTTGGTGCCAATGTGCTTGTATCTACAAATGAACTACTTGGTGTTACTGGTGTTGTATCGTCTGAAAACTTTGAATTGTATTCTTCTAATGCTGCTCTCATTTTTCTTTCTTGATTGATTTAGTTGTTGTGTTGATATTAGTTTTTAATATTTATTTTAAAAATACTACTATTACTATTATTATTATTGCTATTGTTACTATTATAATAAGTATTTATCCAATTGAACTAAAATAACCCCAATAAACTGAATTTAAATTTTTAAAAATTTCTTTGTGTATTGCTGTTGTATAAATTATTTGTTGGAGAAATGATACTATTATAAATAATATATTATTAATGTTGTTATTTAATGATAATGTTACTTTTATTTCTCCTTGGTTTTTGAGCATAATGATATTTTAAAAAATAATATTGAATTTTTTGTGTGTGTTTTTTTTTTTTTTAAATATCTTTTTAAAATAAATATTTAAAATATAAAATAAAATTATTTAAAAGATATAATTATTGTTGCTATTTACTGTACTCTAAAGTAATAATATTGATTTATGTGTGATTTTTAAAAAGTATAAGACGTTAATAAAAATTTGTATATAAATCCCAAAAATTAAAAAAATAAAAAAATAAAAAAAAAAATAAAAAATTTTTATTTTAAAAAAAAAAAATAAAAAAAAAATAATAAAAAATAATTAAAATAATAATAGAAAAAAAAAAA